GCAAAGTTCTTTTCATAACATGGTGGCTGTGTGCATATGAAGTCCTTAGCGATGCATATGAATTTATAGTAGGCTTTTTATTTTGTGTGACACATGACTGAAAAATTAGAATTTTTGTCTCTGTTTTATAAAGATGCAGGAGAAACACTTTGATTTAAAATCACTAGCGGCCTTCTTGTTTATTGTCTCAGAATATAAAATATAGCCAGGGTATAATGACAATACGACTTCTCATGAGGACGCCTCAACTCCCACACAGAAGTCTCACAATACATTTACACCAAATTATTTCAGTCAAACAGCTCCTGCTGCTTAATCACAACTGATTCTGGGTCTGTCATGATAAGCTGTTTGGCCTTACATTTCACCAAACTGCCCTATGACACACCCTGCTACTCAAATGCAAAAAGCGGGGGATGGTAGCCTAAAACTCACTGAAGGTGCACATCAAGCACTGTATACTGTGCAGTATAATGTAATGTAATAGCATATGTTTGCTCCATTTTGATAAAGTCCACACTATATTCATAATGACAGTTGAGGGGCTGCTGCAGCTGGTTTACTCTCTCACTGACTAGACTTGTTTCTGGCATGGAAAAGATGTGAACACACCTTAGCCTTAAGGGACAGAGAGGGGTTACATCTTTAGTAGTGTTCAAGAGTAAAGCTGAGCATGCTGTATGGGACATTCCCGCTATGCAGCAACAGTTAGGCCACAAAACATTTGAAATAAAGAAGATGGATTGTTAATGAGTTTTGTGTTGCATTGGCAAAGCAAAGTGACATGTTTAAGTGTCAGGTAAACACATTGGCCGATCTCAGGCACTCAGATAATAATCTTTACAGGTGGAGTGGTTACAGGGAGGTACATTTTGAGGTAAATTAGCCATTAAACTCTGCGAATTATTCGGATTTAGGTAGCTACACATAACTTTTACAACTAAATCACAATTTGGCACCCAACTCTTCATAATGTAGCCTAACAGGGTGCAGCCTTAAGAGTGTGACAAACATATTAACATTATGAAACATGGAGTAAAAAAATGATGAGTGGAAACTTTTGCTCGCCCTTCTTTAATCCTTAGAGTTCCCTTTTTGAAAGGCAGGAAACTAAAAGGCAAGGCAGCTTTATTTGTATATCACATTTTATACACAAGGGCAATTTATAGAGCAATACAAGGATACAAGGACTACAAGGATACAGGTTGGAAATTACTTCAGGGTCACACAGTGCACAAAGAAGCTGTTGTTGTGTCTATGTAGTGCCCCAGGAATTAGTCGTAAAACCTGGAAATGAGTTAGCATATATGCACACCTCTTTCCCTCATCTTGAAGTCAATGTGTTTTTTGAATTGTTAATGGTTAGATGCCTAAAATAAGGTCTGAGGTTAACACAACCTTTAGAGACTTTCACATTTTGTTTTATGACATAAAATAGGTCAAATACCCCACCTGTGAATTTTGAAGTTTGTATGTGTCTTAAAAAAGGCAGTTGCTAACAAGTGGCTATGTGGCATCGTACGGCGCAGCGCCAAACACGGCTATCCAGTCTTGTTATGGGGTGAGGTTAGGTCACTCGACCTTACTGTAGTTTGTTTATAGCCTATCGTTAGCTTTTTAGGGACCGAGCCTAGAGGCAGAGGACCCTCTTGTTTTTACTGCGTGCGTTTATTAGGGACCAAGCCCAAAAGCAGTGGACTACTCAGACCAGTCCTCGCCAAAGGTGAGGACCCCCCCTATACTTTTTGCTGCGTTTATTCTCACAGACCAGTCCTCGCCGAAGGCGAACACACTATTGTTTTTGGTGTGTTTATTATTATTTCTTTCTTTCTTTCTTCCGCCGCCTCTTTGAACTGGAATTTGACCCCCTAAACATGCTCAAAAACTCACCAAAATTGGCACGCACATCAGAACCGGTGAAAAATTTTAGAAAATCATGACATTAACCCCTAAAGTGCCAAAATGGGCTCTCTAGCGCCACCTAGGCACACAAAAATGGCCGCCACGGCCTGTAGGAACGTCGTAGAAACATGAAACCAAAAGTGGCGTGTTCGTCTCATGAAGGCCTAAAAATCACGCGCTGACACCCCTGACCTAAATCCAACAGGAAGTGAGATATTTGCCCTTTCAAAGTAAGATTTTGCCTTAAAACTGCCTTTCCTAAAAAATCTTCTTCTCATACACCGCTTATCCAATCGGCTTCAAACTTGCACAGATGACAGATCAACTCGTTCTAATCAAAAGTTATTCGTAACTTTTTCATTACTCGCTTAGTTTGGATTTTATGGGCTCCATAAGGTGAGATGTCAGAAAAACGTCCTGGCGATCTTCGAAAGCTGTCCCATAGGAAATGAATGGCAGCAGGGGGGAGAAAGACACCAATCTTAGGGCTTTTTCTAGCATTTACAGCGTCTCCATACTTTGTGCTACAGACTCCATTCCAACTCTCAAATGTTGCCACAGGTCTCATCTATTCACTCATGTTTTCATCTTTTTCATATCTTTTACCGTTTTTCATCTGTGCCTCTCAAAGTACCATGAGCAAAAGTGGAGAAATTCTCAGTTTACAATGGGTGTGTATTGCACGGAATGCTGTGAGCTAGAGTGGAGAGGGCTCTAAAAATCGTCTAAAACTTTTGTCTTTAACTCGCTGCCATGGCCACAATTTTCACTGTACAGACACAATTTATACCACAAAACGTAGGAAAATTTGTCCAGCTCACAGATATGTTGACATGGAATCTCTCACACGTACACATTTTTGCTGAGTGGCTCCAAAGCGAAGGGAGCGCTGATTTTTTTCTCATTCACTCCCATGTAAACTCAGAGGAGAAATTTCTGGAAACAGCTGGGGTGCAACACATTTTAAACTCGCTCCCCTGACCACATTTTTGACTCGAGAAATATAAAACGCGACACGTGCGTTCACGAGACGTGGCTGTCTCTCAAAATCACTTTATTTTCTTGCTTGGACCAACGGTTTGGGTATGCGAAGCATTTGTTCGAGGAGTTAAATCCCTTTATAAACAGCCTTTGGTGATCTGCTCTCCTGACGTGTCTGTGTCTGCCACAGGTGCGGGCAAGTCATTAATCGCCATGACAACGGCTGCACACACAGACACAGCCACAGGGTTCTCTGGTCTGTGTGTCTCACAATCTTTAAAGGACAGATTACAGCAGCAGAAACTTCATTTGAAACAGAACACACACATTATTAACCCCTACAGTGCCAAAATGGGCTCTCTAGCGCCACATAGGTGCACTAAACTGGCCACTGCAGCCCGTAGGAATGTCGTATCAAGATCAAACCAAAACTGGAGTGTTCGACCTACAAATAACACGCTAACACCCATGACCTAAATCCAACAGGAAGTGAGCTATTTGCCCTTTCAAAGTAAGATTTCCCCTCAAACGTGCTCTTAAAAAAAAACACATCTCCTCCTACACCGTTTATTGTGTCGGCTTTAAAGACGCACACATACCAGTTCAACTGCTGCTAAACAGATCTTCTGTATAACTTTATCTCTCTCATGATCACATTATTTTGATGATTGGACCAGCGGTTTGGGAATGGGAAGAACTTCTTCGAGGAGTTAAATCTCCACTAAAACAGGTCTCTCTGTGTTCTGTCACTCTCTCTCTCTGCTCTTCTGCCAGGTGCACTTACTTCATCACCATGGCAACCGCTGTCACACACAAACTCACAGAAACATGATGTGTGTGTGTGTCTAAATCTTACATGCAGACATGACAGGGGCACAATCTCCATTTTAACCCTTTAGGTGCCAGAGTTTATTGAGGAAAATATTCCATTTTCATTTCAACATTTCAAAAGGCTGTGGCTTGAAAGTGGTGAGAGATAAAGGCATACTGTAAATGAGAAAACTATTCATCATGACCCAAAGTTTGTCATGGGAGTAAATTAACTTATCTAATTTGCATATTGTGACGTCACTAGGCAGCAGCCATATTGGATTTCATACATCTCAGTAAAACAACATTTTGAACATATTTACATAGTAAATTTATTTTGTTTTGTGTTGTTTTTGTTGTCTCTTCCTCAAAATAAAGGACGAGGAATCTGATGGGAATAAATTCACTCATCTAATTTGCATATCGTGACATCACTTATCCATACCTACAGCTACAGAAAGCATTCAAACATCAAAACGTTCAGCTCTGTAAGGATTTTCTGATGTTTGTGGCAACATGTTTGATATTTCTAAATAATTCACAGTGACGACATAAGCTGGGGGCCGAAACGGGCACGAGTGCGAGGTCCCGCCAAACGCTGCTTGCAGCTTTAATTACCTCTGGAGATTGCATTTAGGCTTCAATAATCATGAAAGTGGAGTTCAATTCTGAAGATTCTATTGCTGAACAAATCATGTCAGCATCATAAACGTTTGCCATGAAGCTTATTTTCTGCAATAATCCAACATCCAATCAAAAAATCCCATTGGCTTTTTGACAAGGAAAACAGTGTAATGCTAACTTCTGCATCAACCTACAGAAAAGATTCATCCCTACAGTACACTAAACATATCCTATAGTTCTTCCTGTGTACAGTATATATGCATAAATTGAGTATTTTATAATTTTGTGGCTTGTGGTTCTTGTTACAGGGATGACTTGTACACTAATTGTGCTGCAATATGACACATTTTCCATTGCATTTGGGGAAAAACTGTTAAAATGAAATGAGTGCATTCTACATTAGCTGGACTTTGTAGAATTGAGCATATAAACAGCACAGTATTCTTCTGGTTCTCTGATCAATCATGCAGCTCAACAAATTATGTTGCAGCTGTTTCCGTCTGCAGATGACTCAGTGGCTGTGTGGTACACCACAGATTCAGCAAGATATCAAGATGGCATTCACTGCCATATCTCACTAAAGTCACTGCAGTCATTGGTAACTGATTTCTGTGTTCATAAAACATACAAAAACTACAAAAAAAACATCAAAAAAATTATGAAGACAAACAGGCAAATTTGAATTCATTTCCATTTCTCAGTTTTATTCATATAAAGTAACTCAAATGGGCTCCAATAAACATAACATTAATCTGCTTTTAACCTAACAAAGATATAAAACACAGTAACAACTGGACATTGGAAAGAAACGCAGTACATGCACAAAGGTGGATGATGCTGAAATTCAGAAGAGCCTTAGTAGGCGACGTTAACTTGTCCACAATCAGAGTTTAACTGTAGCTAAAAAAAAATCTGATGCAAACCCATCAAAGGTTTTAAAATAACAGAATACTCCTACAACATTATGCAGAAACAGTTCACAATGTGTCATGTTGCAAATCTGCCATTAGTATCCAGAGCATAGTAACATGTGGTTCATTCGTGACAAACACATACAGAGCATATTTGCATTCTCACAAATTATCATCACAATCACAGATATTGTTGATTATGTAATTATCGCACCAAATAGTGCACATAAGGGGAGGGCAATATGAACAAAACTATTTTTGCAATAATTATCAAAGTGTCAATATCACAACACAGGTTCTCTACTTTGTCTCACTTATGTTTTTACAAGTTATACTTTTGGTCACACTTAAATGTAAATCAAATGTTACAAAATATTCCTGGAATTTAAAAAAAAATCTCAAGTGTTGAATATAATATAATAATTTGATATAACCCTCATCAGAGTTAGTTACCAATGAGACAAAGATAAAATACACTCCAGGAAATACAGATAGAGTAACAGATTAATGCAAAGGCCTATTACACATTAAAACACTGCACGTCATCAACTGCACTGCACGGTAGCAACTATTTTATCTTTCGTCACGAGGATCACAAGTACAAATACTGTGTTGATGTCACAAAGTAATATACCAGAAATGTGTGTTGAAGCAAAAAAAAAAGCTCTAAAAACCAACTGTACACTTACTGCTCAGCACCAAACAGCAGACAGACGCAGTTAGCAATAAGCTGGTGAACTTTGTGGAGCATTTTAGCAACTAAAGAGACAGACAGAGACCAAAAATACTTTAAAATGGTCGGTTTAATGCTCTAGAAATTCCCTCCTGGCCCAACAGAAGGCGTACATTGAAAATGTTTGCTGCCCCAATGGTAAATTGGTGATCACAGCCTCTGCCTGGGGACAGAGACACGCCTCCAAATGAATGCAAATGTTGCTCTGTAACTGCTGACTCTAAGATAAACCTAACTGATTTCATAGTGTAAATAAGCAACTGTTTGCTAACAAGTTTGCTCTATCAACAAGGTGTGATCAATGTTGTGCTCACACTCGTTTCACTGGGTCAATACACAAAAAAAAAAAATCAGTTACTGGTTATCAGTTGAAGTACTGACTGAATTTCAAAGCAACTTAGTAAGTTTTTAGCATCATGTATCCATGGCCTCCGTGCAGCACATCATTAGAAAGTAAATCCACCACAATCAAAAGCATCAAAATCAGAATCTGCCACTTCAAAGTCAAAGCTGTTAAAATGAGGGGAGTCGAGTGCAGGGCTGCCGGTGTGGTACGCTCCTGCTGGTCCCATGCCAGAGAAATCCGTGTTGATTGGCAGGTCAGGAGCTTTGGCTTCCAGATTAGGGAGCGAGCATGCGCCTAGGTAACCCATGGCAGAGGAAGCAGCAGCCCCTCCCATCAGCAGATAAACCGCCCTCACTGCTTGGGCATTACTGATAGTGCCATGGCGCAGACACCCTGGTGAATGTACGCCTCCTTTGTAATACTTTGTGCGAGGAGAACTCCTGCCTGTTGGGATTGAGTGGTATAAAAAACAAACAAACAAACAAACACAGTCACTTGTTTGACTAGATTCTTTACTCTGGCTATGCATGAAAAACCGTTACAGACAAACAACACGCCCTACACTCACCTTTCTCCCGCGGGGAAGCACAAGTCATAGGCCCCGGGGAAGGTGCCTCTGTGTCGCTGACAGGTGGAGTTGGTGGATCTTTGTCGAGGATTTGCTCAGGCACCAGATCTCGGAGAGTAATTCGTGGTGGTGGCACCTGGTGTCGCTTACAAGGACTGAGAGGTGATGAGAGACTCTGTAGGGGGTAAAATAAGAGTCCAGAAAACATATTTTGCATTATAAAAGTGATGCTTATATTAAAACATTACAAACACATTTCTGTCTACAGTTTTAGCCATGCTAGCAGCCCAGCTTTGGGAAAGGCAGTCAGTCTAAATGTCCACTGCTGTGACACAGACCAAAATATCTCAACAGTTATGGGATGGATTGGCATGAAAGTTGGTACAGGCAATCATATCCCTCTCAGGATGATCCCTTAATGAGCATCATCATCAGGTTGAACTTCAATTTAACCAATACTCTAGTTTATGACCAAATACCTGCAAAACATCCATCACCATCAGCTGTACTGTGTTTTACTTAATTCATATGTTATGCAGCCTTTGCTTTGATAATATGCAAAACTGCTGTCATGAAACACAAGCTGAGGCGTGACAGACGTGTTTCTGTATTGTGCATGCCCAGTTGTGCATAACAGCCAGTTATACTTCTGTCTCAGCGAGTCTCTGAGTCAAATCTTTCATGAGCGCACACACCCACTGAGGCAAAAGAGTGGTTCATGAATCGGTTAGCTAATGGCGGGTGAACGACATGAACCAGGGTACGTTTATGGAGATAAATTTGTCTCAGTATTATTATTACAAATCTTTTTATATTTGTGTCGATCTGATCACACAAATAATAATGAGACAAATCAGTCTCCATATACTTGAAAGAACCAGTCTTCTCATCTTTACCTGCTTCACATCAGCATGGCAGCAGTGTCGCTGTAAGCATTACTGTAACGCTGATGTTAGCATTGTGCAGCTTTACAGAGCTGCTAGCTCGGCTGTAGACTTGGTAAGGTTTACACATTTTCCAACGCAAATACCTTATTAAATCATTAACTCACCTGTTTCACTTTTTTCAGCACATTCAGCCATTGACTAAAAAGGGACAAACACATTTGTTATTACCTACTGTACACATCCTAACATCAATTCATCAGTTCAAGTGCATTCCAGTGAAACAACCAGGTATGTAGCAGGAGTGGAATGTGCAGTAGGGTGCCTGCCTGTCACTCTTGCACACTTCCTGCTGTACTGGGTGTAAGCTGAGATGTCCTATTTGAGATGAAAGGTATGCAGGAGAGGAAAATACGGTAAATAGGAATCTGGAGTGGCACTGGCCTTTTGTTCTTGACAAACATGCATAAAGACAAGAAACAGGGGGGAACAGCTAACCTGGGTCATCTGTCTAAAGATTAAAAAAAAATCCACCCACCAGCACCTCTACAGCTCACTAATCAGGCTATCATATTATACCTCTCTTTTATTCCCTACAGGATGAGGAGGGTGAAAATGACAAGTTGTGGTTTTAGGAGGGTTATGTGCCAGACTAATTTTTGGATGACTTCCTGGACTGTTTCTATACTTCTGTGTAGCCTGGCTTTATGCTAATCTAAGCTAAGCTAACTGGCTGCTGGCTGTTGTGTCATATAGTGCTCCAGGGATGATGTTTTTCAAAAAGCCTATGGGATTTCTCCATTGGATTTTGGATTATTGCAGAAAATAAGCTCTGAGGTGAACAAACTATTATGATACTTACATGTTTTGTTCAGCAAGATACAAATAAACACCACTTTTATGATTACTGAAGCCTAAATGCAATTGGCAGATGTAAAAAGATAACGTTAGGCTATAAACAAACCACACTACGGTTGAATGACCTTCTATCACCACCATAAAAAGACTGTAAAATTGTGTTCGGTGCGGCTCGGTGTGATGATGTTCTGTAGTCTCATTTAGCCACTTGTTATCAACCGCCTTTTTAAAGCCACACCTCAGCTTCGAAGTTCACAAGTGGGGTGTTTGCTAATGTGTTTTATGTCGTAGAACAAAACGTACGTTTCTTCAGCTTGTGTTAATCACAGACCTCATCTCAGGTGTCTAATCAAACACCCATTCAAAAAGACCAATTACCTTTGAGACAAGGGAATCATTTGTGGTACAATGCTAACTCATTTGTGGGTTTTAGGGCTAATTTCTGGGGCATAAGTTCAAAGGTCAAACATGTATTTGCGAGTGAGTGTTATTTTCTCATCAAACTCATTGCAAAAATGTAAAAAATCTTATTTCCCCAAATACTGGAACTATTCAGCTGAGTAACTGGTGGCACATTTGTGAAATTGCACCACAAAACTTTAGCTGGTTTTAACATGTGTCCATCATTTCACAGGCAAAGTCATTATACACTGTGAGCACCAGACCTGCAGTCTGCAGGGGTCTCAGTCATCAGCAGCAGGTACTTGCTCTGGGGGAGGATCAGGGCAAAGCAGCAATCCCTACTTCCACCGGAGGGCAACTTAGGCAGGTCTAGGATCTCTTTGCCTTCCACGATTGCCTCACAGCTGCTCTGCAACAGCACCAGCTGGTCAGGGGGAGATGAGGCATCGTGGCACACAAGGAGACTGCCCTCAGCTGTCAGGAGCAGAAATCTCTTCTTCCACTGTTTGAAAATAAATCCACCTGGATAAGAGAAGCAGGTTATTCTGTGATAAACATTTCCAATCATAAGCACGAAACACCTAAAGCTTATTGACAGTATTAAGTGTGGTCACAGTGATCATGATAGCAGTGAGAGCAGGGTACAGCTGGATTAAACACTCAGTCATTCTATCATCTCCGCAGATTAGAGGCAGTCAGGTGGTTGGAGGATCAAGGGGCTGCGGATGTGGCGCTCAACCAGTTGGGGAATGTTGACTATGATTTAGCATCATCACACACACACATCTGGATCTACTCATTCTGTGTGCATACAGTGAAAAAACACATGAACACACTAAACAGAAATACAATCCCAAAAGCTAGTGAAATAAGTCTGAATAGGAGCAAGTGAGATTTAACCTGGTCTATGAATCTTTTTTGTGTATTTTCAGACACATATTCAGATTCTTGTTATCAGGGTATGTACTATTTCATGGTCCTATATTTATTTTTGAAATAATCTATCCATCCAATATCCTTAGAGGAGAAAATCATTATGATACTCCTCTCAAAATCCTGCTTGGTCTCAGAAGCATTGCTAACTCTAACATTCTTAATATCACAAAATGGTATGTGTCCTTTTGGCAAAATGTTCTAAAGAATTTGGGGAAACACTAGGATGCAAAATACATTAATCATCCTACCTATCAATTATTCAGCATCGTCATACCTAAATGCAGAATCCAATTCCAAATCCTGCTATGCTCTTATTCTAACAGGACAAAATATAAACAAGAACATTTGTAAATCACCATAAAATCTACTGTGAACTGCAAAACTATCCTGTAGGAGGTTATAAGAGAGGCAGTCATTTTAGCTCACATAATATAACCACAGCTGTAATGATGTTTGCTCAGTGAAGAGGAGGATAAACTCACCATACATCCTTAGCACGCCATGGTGGATCCCCGAGACGCTCATGTTGACAGCCGACGTATCCCGGGCTCAGAGAGAAATGTCTGAGGGCAGGATGGGTGAAAAGCACATGAGGCTCAATGTGAGTTTTAATGCTCAGCTCGGCTTTAATCCTCGTTCGGATTGGATGTTCTGCAGGGACACATTTCAAGAGCTTGGTATGAAAATGGGTTTTGATGAGATGCTACACACAAACTGTGGCGGTGTGTGCTAAGTTACTTTGTAAAATGGCTTATCAGCATGATTTCAACGTTTCTTTATTCTTTATTATCAGTTCAGTTTTACATACACAGAATTTAAGTTCATTTTAATCAGTTGCACAAAATCTCTCAGGCTCATCCCGTCTGTCAAATCCAAATACAGAAAAGAACTGTTGAAACCTTTACTTCAATTAGTAAATCTTATCAATCCATCACTGTGAATGATAAGCCAACAGAAGCCAGAATGTCACTGTGGCCCCTAAACGCACCTTAGTTTGCTTTAATTTATCTTTCAACAGGTCCACAGCAGTCATGAAAAGACAAGTACGGTAGCTTGAGTCTTTTGCTGTGCAATTTAGTGTCTTGTCATCTGTAATCCTTCACATTAAGGTGGTTATCTGTTCAGACTGACTACTATTAACAAAAAAATTTATTGGTACATCGGTTCAGATCTCTTAAAAAAATGTCAGGGTTGTAAATGTGTAACTGTGGATAACCTTTAGTAAGTTTGCAAAGGTATGACCTGACAATCTATGTAAATTAAAATACATTTTGACCCCCCCTTATCATATAATTATGTATAATTTATTCACTGAATACTAACTGAATCCAAACTGTATATGCTGCAGATTAGGACATACATTTGAAGAATTCTCAGACTGGACACGGCTGTCTTTTGTCACATACACACATTATACATACAGCATGCTGATGAGCACAAGATCTAATGAATCTCACATTACACTCAAGTTTATTCTTACACAGAATTTATTCATCATTGCAGACTTAAAGTTGTCTTGAAAAACAATAAATACAATCATTTAAAATCAAACATAAGCTACAGTATCTGAGGAAAACTAAACAGAGAAATAAATATAAATATGCTAGAGTGAAACTGACAATAATCACAAAGAAAATATATGATGAATTTAAATGAAACTATTGATTACATGTAACAACAAAAAGGTGAGAGTGCTGAGCTAACTTTCAAGCTAACTATATTCTGTTACATATAGTTTATTCAGCTTCTCTTACTGCTAAGGCACTTTATCACATTCTCACATAACAGTGGCTTTATCTTCAACTTCTTAACAAACAACAAATTAAAACAAATTTATGGAAACCCATGATGTCCCTAAATTGATTAAAGAGAAAATATTCATGCATTTTGATTACATGATTACACTTAAAAAAAACTTTTGTGTGAATCACATTTGCATAGTAAAAACTCTCTTTCTTTACAGCCACCTCAGGGACACCAGAGTTACCAAAGTTTGAAGTAATGTTTGTGCTGTTAATTCGAATTCATGAGAATTATTTTGCAGTTTTCATGTCAAAATCGATTTGTTGTGACTTTTGTCAGGAATGATGAACACAAGCAGCACTTCAATAACCTCTATAAACACATTCTGAGTGTGTTAAAAAAGACTGGAGGCGATGAGACAAGATTTTTAGAGGTGTTCTTGTTTGTAGTTTGAGTAGTACTGACCAATTACATTTAAACAGCAGGTAAACAGTCCCAATCCATGTGTAGAGGCAAAGTGCACTGGCCAAAATCTCGGAACCCATCGGTTATGTCTAGCTATATATATCTGTTCATAGAAATGAGCTGAAATGACCGAAGACGAAAGAGGAAGTGAGGAAGAGGAAGTCTTGACTTAGATATCATCAGACCGATAGCCAATGGGTTCCAAGACTGGTGCTTCAATTATTATATTTTTCCCTCTGTAAGTGTGAAGTACTTGTTAGCTAGGAAAGTTGATCCTCATATTGCTTTCTGAAACAGTCTCCTGCAGGGTAGAAGTCCCAGCAACGCTCCTGGTACATCTTCCACACATATGACTCCTAAAACAGAGGGAGTAAAAACAACAAGTCAAATGAGGACATGTGTCGAGGAAGAGAGCAGACTGTTATCAGCCAGGAGGAATTCTCATAAAACAAAACACCAATTAAAGCACTGCAATAAAACAGTTCAGACTGACCTGCCCCGTGTGCTCCGTCTCATCTTTGTTGATGAGGTACATTAAGAAGAACCTGAAAAGAACTCACGTGTTAATGTTTTGTCATTGGTACATTTCGACACATGTGAAGAGTACATGCACACACGGAAACACAGAGGAGGTACACTCACATGTAATTGGCCAGATTGTGTTCATCTAAAGTGTGGGTCTCGAAGCCATGTGGCGTTGTATCAAAGTAGTCACTTCCGATGCCACATATGAAGCATTTTGTCTGCAAAAAAATCAGGGATGAAGATTAAAGCCATGTCATGCATACATTAGGTGAAAGGATCAACTGACAGTATCATACCTCCATGTCTTCCTTGACTTGCTCTTGTTGATCTCTGAGTTCTCCAAAGGCATCAATGATCAGACCTACAGAATTTGTACATTGACATGATGATTAGAGGTGTTTTTAAAAATCTGCCAAGTGCCAAATATACCTTTAAAATCCCTCATTATACCTACAGTTTCAAGTGAGTCTCTAAAAGCTTCTCACATTGTTCCTTTTTCCTTGCTTGTACGTTACCTCTAACCCAATGACCCCCTTAACAACGTGTATTAAAATGTGTCTGGTACCAAGATACTATTTAACCAGATTACATTTACACCTGGTATCATGTGTCTCCAGTGTCCATATTAAGAGCCGATTGAGATTTGATCACTCTGTCCAGCTCTAACAACGGAAAGTCGCTCTTCTCATTCTCCACATTTGCTTAGCAATGGCTTCATAAAGGCCTACGCTGCAATAGAACAGCCACGTTTTGCTTGTATACTTTCACTGGATCAAACTGAAAGCTGCCACTTGGTCCCATCTTGACTCCCTCCATGGTATGAAACACTCATGTGTGATTATGCGTTCTTGCCCATAGAGTTAGAGAGACTGATCCATGCATTTGTCTCTAGTAGGTTAGACTACTGTAATGGCCTGCTCACTGGCCTCTCCAAACGGGCTGTAAGACAGCTGCAGTACATCCAGAATGCTGCTGCTCGGGTCCTGACCAGAACCAGGAAGTACGAGCACATTAGTCCTGTGCTCAGGTCTCTACACTGGCTTCCTGTGGCTCAGAGAATAGACTTTAAAGCAGCTCTGCTTGTGTACAAGTCTCTCCACGGCCTAGCACTAAAGTACATCTCTGACATGTTAGTGCCATATGAACCATCTCGGACTCTGAGGACCTCAGGGACCGGCCTCCTGCTGGTGCCCAGAGTCAGGACTAAACATGGGGAATCAGGGTTCCAGTTTTATGCAGCTAAAATCTGGAACAGTCTTTCTGAAGATGTGAGACAGGCCTCTACTCTGACAATGTTCAAATCTAGGCTCAAAACAGCTCTATTTCACTGTGCATATGACTGAAAGGATCTTATCTGCACTCTTCTCTTTTAAAGTTCATTTTATAATGATTATTTATGTTTTTATTTTGCATTGTGATTTTAATGCATTTTCTTGTTCTGTAAAGCACTTTGAATTACTTTGTGTACGAATTGTGCTCTACAAATAAACTTGCCTTGCCTTGCCTTGCCTTGCCTAGAGTTGTATATGTGGATTGAAAATACAATTGCATTTACTCTAGTGCTGAGTGTGGTCACAATGTGTCCCTGACAACCTCTGGAGGTGGTTTGGCAGATCAGATCACAATCCATTTTGGGTGCATTTTCACCTCATGTGGTCAAGCACTATCCAATTGCATTCCAATCACCCAAAACACATTTTAATGCAAGGTATAAAGGGGGTCAGTGACATGACATTTGAAAAGTATTGGCATTGTCTTTACCCTGAATAATGGCCAGCAAAATGACAATGACGAAGAAGAAGAAAGTTATATCAAAGACCACTCGATAAAGCTCGTATTCATCTCCAGCAGGATCCTCTATCTCATCTCCGATGCCTCCACCAGCACGCACACCCACGTACATGTGGAACAGGTAACACTGTAGAGAGAAGCAAATACACATTATTTGGGAAGTGGAAGTGGTGCAGACACAAATGCATCAAAGTTCCTTTTTTTTTAACATCAACAGTGACTTACAGTCATCATGTCGTCACATTTCATATCTGGCTCATCTTCGTCCTCACTCTTGTTGTAAAACTTGCGGAAGAAATTGAAGGCAACTACGGTGTAAAGGTACACCACCACAGCCAACAAGCCCACTGTCATCATGAGCTGGCAGAGACAAGAGGGGAACGGAGTTAGTACATTTAAACTGAAGCAAAATGAATACGTCTGAGTCTTTTCCTGAACTTGCCTGTTTGCCATTGTGTGTGACTGAGGACAGGATAGTGCGCAGAGTCTTGACACCCATGGCAATATCCAGCAAGTGGCAGGCGAAGAAGAAGTTGTTGTAATGTCCAAGCAAAGACATTATCGTGTACCAGCAGAGATACAGGAAGGTCTACAAAGAGATAACAAGACAGGGTATTTCAAAGGTAAGGTTGTGTTCACACATAGTATAATATAGTGCGGTATAGTATAGTATATTCGTGGATGGGTTACTGAATGGGCCTACTGGACACTGCCCCTGAGGCCATAGGGTTAGGGCCCCACCTGGCTTTCTCCTGCATAATGTTAGTCAAATTAACAACTACCGACCAGTTAGAGACTCGAAATGACAACAAAATTATGCAAATAAATTGCAAAGAGACACAAAACGACTACATAGAAATGCAAAACCACCACAAAGTCTGTGTTTCTTGCTCCTACAGGAGAGGTAATGGGGTGTTTTGCATATCTGTGCCGGGCCCATTGTAACAGAATCCACCCATGAGTATATTGTACATGCTAATGTGGGTTTGCTTACACCGTCTGTAAACACAACGCCAAATTTCCAGATCTGGTACTTGAGGTCAATGGAGGTCAGCCTAAAAAGATACAATATTGAGTGATAAACATTCTAAATAATTATTTATTTGAGGAACAATATTTAATCTTTGCTGGTTGTATACTTACCACGCAAACACAGAGTTATCTGGTTCCTCTTGTTTTTTCTCATGTTGTTGACTCACATCAAGGGAGGCTAAATCAACACCCAGGAGCTCCGCAATTCTTTCTCTGCCATAAATGTCTCCGTACTTATCCAAAACCTGGACACAGACATTGCATTACACAATGCATAAGAGGCTCTACGGAGTCCATTTTAAAACCACCAAAATCAAACACAATTTACCTTTCGTTTGACAAATTTATCCCAGTAGTTGTTTGGGAAAGAGCTGTGGGAGAAAAAGGGACATTATTTACTGATTAAATTAAAGGAACAGTGTGTTAGATTTAGGGGGATTGATGGCATCTGGCAGTAAGAATTGCAAAATTTCACCAGCTGAAACTTCTCTAGGTTAGGAGGTCTCCTCCTCTCAGTGATTTAAACGGGTAAAAACATGGAATAAAGCAGTTTCATGTTACAAATCAGTCTGTCTCCAACGCTGTTTGGCAGGTCGATGATGGGCTGCTCAACCACTGCACGCTAATGTGTGCTCACCCTTTATCTCTGATAACTTAGGATCCAGACGTTCGGGAAGTTTTTATTGGGAGCCAAATTATCTGCAGAGGTCTCTTCCTTTCAAAAACATGGACCCACTATTTTTTTATTTAAAAAAAGGCGCTGCCAACTACGGTGGCTGACGGGAATACATGGATGGCCCTATCTAGAGCCAGTGTTTGGCTTGTCTGTTCTGGGCTACTGTAGTAAGCTGGCAGTGCAACATGGGGATGTCCGTGGAAGAGAAAGAAAACACAATTCTCATTTTCAGGTGATTATACATCAAAGAAAACATACTTATATTACATTACATTCTGGCAATATATCCCCCTAAATCCTACACACTGAACCTGGACCTTTTTTCTTGCGTGCCTACTTAATGTTGACACTATAAAGAATCATCTGACTGGAGACAAATAATTTCTTTATCTACATACGGTGTATTCAGGACCAGTCGGTCCCACTGGCCCTTAATGTCATCATCCTCAGGCTGCTCAGTGATGTAGAGGCCGTCAAACTCCAGCTTTCTTGCAAGTTCTTTCTCCCTTTTAAAGATCACCAGTGGAATCTGACAAGAACAATTGCAAATCGTACTTAACTGTGGTGTGCACCTATTCATTTCTAGTATGAAGCAAGAACATAGTTCATAGTGCAACACCTCAAAATTTAGTTTTTCAGCATCCGTCTATATTTTTAATATGAGGCGAAACAGTCAACAGTGTTTTACTGTGTGCCCCTCATACCTTAAGGCAGTTGTAGCCAATGATACAGATGAATGAGATGACTGTGTGCAGGATGGCAAGGAAGGACAGTGTGGGCTGCATGTAGCCAGTGCTCTCCTCTAAATAGTAATAAACTGGGACGTCTTCATCGTCCTCATCTCCTTCATTCATTCCAGATCCCTCAGACTCCTCCCCTGAGCCTTCAAAGAACCCAGAGCCTTCAAACAGCCCACTTCCCTCCATCCCGGATCCCTCCATCTCCTCACCCTCGGGTGGGGTGTCAGACACCTAAACAGAACAGAATAATGAAGAAACAAGACAGCTTGGTACAGTAAAACAACGCACAGCTCACAGTCTATCAAACAGTACCTGTATTACTGAGTTATCAAGTACAACATAATAATTCAAATACAATATTATCTTTTTACCTTGTAGAACAGCAGAATGAAGTTCAGGGCAAATGCGAGGAACAGAGCCAAAAACCGTAGGTTGTAGAAGTTTCTGGAGAGGTAGTTCTACAAAGGAGAAGTGAATATTTTTCAGCTGATTAGTGAGTTGGTAAGTGCAGAGTGACTCTGAAATTATGGCGGCTAAGTAATTTTGAAACAAATGCTAGCAAACGTGTCACCATAAATTTATTTCGTTGGGTTTCCAGCTCAGTCCAGATTTGGAAACCTTCCTTTTTGTGCTTCTTTTCTTTTTTGGTTGAAGATTTCTTCGGCTCTTCTGGCCGTTCTTCTGCCTTGCTCTGGGATTCTTTCTCTGCTTTCTCTCCAGTTTCAACACTGATAACCAAACACAGCAGGGTTACTGTTTTGTTTCTGTATTTCATCAACATCAAAATCCAATCATGATATACTAAGGCTGTCATTGCTGCAGATGTGCAATCCTTTGAATTTGCCATCTGTCTGCTTGTGTCTCTCCGCTCCACGTCGGCTATAAAAAAAGCCCAGTTCTATCCTGTATAGTACACCACCAGTGTACTGTACACTGCATACTGATAGTAATGCTGATGGTGCAGTATTTTGGGAGTTAGCACAAGAAATTGCTGCATGGAAATGATCAGAGAATGAACACTGCATCTGAAATTCATTTGAGTAAAATATTTAATATATACAGTATATAGTCTTCTTGGCTAAAAAGTCTAGCCTGTTATCTCAAACCACAACAGAGAGAAGATACACAGAGCAACTCAAGGCTCTTACTCAGCCTTTTCAGGTTCTGGAGGAGGTTCCTCTGCAGGAACAGGTTCAGGAGGTTTCTGGCTGGCATCAGCCTCTTCTGGTGCCTGTAACAAAACAAAAACATTACACAGTAGCCACCAAGACTATAGCTAAAGGGACAGTTCACCCTCAAATCATAAATACATATTTTTCTCTTGTCTGTAGTGCTTTTTATCAATGTATATTATTTCGATGTGAGTTGCAGAGTGTTTGATATGCCTGCCTTTTCTCAAATATAAAGGAACTAGATGGCACTCGACTCTTAAGTGGTTACCTATAAGACAATCTATGGACCTTGGTGTGAGCAGTTTCATGTGGGAACTACTTTCTTTCTACAGGACTACACCCACCAACATGCAACACTCAGCAACTCACACCAAAACAATCTAAACTGAAAAATAGTACTGCAGGCAAGAGGAAAAGTATGTATACTTGATTTTGGGGTGAGCTGCCGCTTTAAAACAGGTTCACTAACCACCCAGTGAAATATTTTTAATTCACCCAAGGTGCATAAAACGTACCATTTTTCTCTTTGTTATGGGAGTTCCCTCAGGAGTTGGAGGTTCAACAGGTGATTCTACACCCATGTCTCCAAGTCCACCTGGAGCATCAATACCTGGTATCCTCCCACCCTCTTTTTCCTGGGTATCCTCCTCTTCCTCCTCTCCACTCCCAGTCTCCCCGGTGTCCGTTACACCTCCAGTGTCTTGTTCTTCCCCTGTCCTTGGCTCCCCTGGTCCATCACCATGCACATCATCCTGCGTGGGATCTGGCATGCTTGCAAGAATCTCAGTCACGGTGATATTCTTTGCTCCCTCCACTAAGCCACCTCCAAACAACGTCTGCCAGATGATCATAAAGAACCCTTTGCACACATTGTAAATTAAGTGTAGTATACTCATTAGGATGGTCCAGAAAAAGGTGGACAAGGCCACCACAATCTCCTTCAAGGTCATCTTTCTCACTCTGCGATACTGTCTGCGAAGGTTACGGAAGGTGAAAATGCTGAAGAAGCTTAGAGTGCTGTTTATGAAATCTGCAAAGGCAGAGCTCGATTCAGGCGGCCTTTCGTCTCCATTATTCTCCTCATCACCAGCTGCTCCTTGTCCCCCCTCACCTCCACCTTCTTCCTCTTCATCATCTTCTTCCCCCTTTCCCTCCTCCTCCTGCTCTGAAATCTGTGAGGCTATATTCATCTCAAAGATGGTGTCCTCACAGAAGTTGACGAACATTTCCATCTTCTCTGATTCACCGCCCTCATTGACGACATCAAAGATAAACTGTCGTTTCGATTCTCTGACCTGGGGCATCTCCCACTGTCTGCGGTTCACTTCACTGATTTCAAAGTAGATGCGCTCAATCTTTCTGCTGGCGCCCATTATTTCAATACGACCTAAGAAGGGGCGGAAGTAGTTCAGCACACTCTCTGCTTGTTCTAGGAAGTTCTGTAGCCTAACGTCATGTGGGACGTGCTCAGACAGGTTGGTGAGCAGCACTGCGATATTGAATCCGATGTCCTTGGCAGGTTCCTGAAAGCGATTGGCGAACTCCTCATAGTGGATCATGTCATTCTCATCTGCTTCTGAGCAGGACAGAAGAAACTGGATCTCAGAGGGGGTATACTGTTTCTGACTGTCCATGGCCTTCTGGAAGTCTTTCTTGGAGATCAGCCCTCGAGGGTCTGTGACGTAATCACGGAAAGCATCCGAAGCCACGATGTCTTTCAGTTTGAGGAACATGTCAAAGAACTTGAGGATCATCTCCACGTTGCTGGAGGACTCCACCAACATGTCTACCATCTGGCGGGCAATCGTACCATTTACCACGTTTCCTGAATAATACAGAGTGAAATTCAGAGATCTGAAAAGGACAAACCGAAGAAATGAAAACTGATAAAAAACTAAACGACAGATAATTTAATTATATTTTACCCTCTAATAGTGAGAGCAACATAACAACCATGTCTTTCTGTAAGTCAAGAAGCTCCTTCAGCAGACCAATCTGGCTCGAGTCCTGTGACCATAAAAAGATGCACAAGATCTTACAGTAATGACAACAGAGTTAAGATTGTCTCCAAACATTAGCAGTTTACATGGATTTATAGAGATGCAATAGTCATTGGTGAAGTGTAAAACACAAGTCAAAAGTGTCAACAGTTATCACACAAAATTATTTTAACATGTAGAAACCCAAATACAGTTACAGTATGAGGTGTACATTCCGTACACTCACATTCACAACAAAGAGAGTGCTGCAAAAAGGAGTTAAATAACCAAACCCTCATGCTGAGAGAGAATTTGTAAAAATGGTTTAGGAAAACTCAAAGGATGAATGAGATGATTGTGTGCAGGGTGTCAAGGAAGGACAATGTGGGCTGCATGTAGCAACTTCAGACTATAAACTAACCAATTGCCTCCAGTTTTACATAAAATCTCAAATCAGTGTATTTGTAAATTATTTAATCAACTATTCCTCTCTGAAAAGTGATTAAATATTCATGACAGTAAGCATTTGATTCAACAGCCGAAGCTTTCGTGACACAGAATGAAAATCTTGGCATCTCACAAGAACAAAGTGGATATAGTTCTCAGAAATAAAGACCACAATACTTTGTGACGCCACTGGCCGATCTTATTCTCTTCATGTGGTTTCTGCTTAGACATCCATTGCCTTATCCTTATATGCCATGGATTGCTATGAATCATATCAGAATTTCAGCTGAATTCCATATAACACATGTTCAAATGTACTGCATGCAGTATATACTATAACAATATAAACAACAAATATAAACCAACGTCATGTCGATGCTTAAATAGTGTTATAACCAACGCCACCAGAAGCCACAAAGCAACACAACACAAATAAAAAGCATATTCCTTCAGGTTAATTTTTAGTAAATAAAAACGGCAACAGAATCATAACCCCTGTTAAATGTGTGCACACAAAATGGAAGTCACATTAAAATGTATAATCCAACACCAAATAATCTTGTATTAAAATATACACTCCAACAGCGGAGGTTAAACGTCAGTCCCTCTCTCAGGAAGTTTTGTAGTCACCTGCTTCTTTGTCATCAATAATGATTCGGCAAAAACAATGTTTGTTAATTACAATATTGTGGGTTTTAAAATTCCTAGTGCTGTACATCATATTGTAAGTGCTTAATGAGGCAAAACAGCTTTGTAGTAAAGAGAGTATTGCTGTGTCTGGAAATTTAAATTCAGTATGTTGTGGTCTGTTGTAGTACAATGTGGATAAGCTGGTGCACCTCAAGATTTTACTCAAGTACTGAGAAACAGATGCACTAATGTGATAATAATGAACTTTCACTTTCTCCTAGGATCTGTTTGTGTGTGTTTCCTTGAGTGATTATTCCTCTTTGAATTCTTGAGTTGAAATCTGTACTAGAATTTAGAGTAATTCGGTGTGCATTTGGATTTAGATACAATGTTTAACTGCTGAGTGAGGAATGTTTGGTTCTCACGTTACAATCTTCATATTTCTGTATGATTTATGAGACACAAGTGGATGTTTACCTGCTTTTTTAAAAATGCTAAACTTCTATATTATACTCCTTCAATAAAACGCCGTAGGGTTGCTGTGAAACTGGGCCTACTTAGGGCAACAAAACCATTTGTCTTGGGTATGGCAGAAAAGATACCTGCACACCAGCGCAACTGGGCTGGACAGCCACAGAAAGGTCCACATGCTGAAATCAATGCAAAAAATAGTCAATTTATTTATGACAAATAAAAAGAATGGTGTTCAAAAAGAAGGGTGTTCAAAGTGCAAAATATAATAAAAAGTAAATAAAAACATTAGCAAATGTTTCAGTCCTTGACACTGATGATAGTCAAATTTTGTTTTGATAGTTTTGTGGCTGTCCAGCCCAGTTGCACTGGTGCACGGGTATCTTCTCTGCCATCCATACTCCTTAAATAACCATGGCTAAAAGGTATAGAAGTAATCGAATGTTAAATTGAAATATATATATATATATATATATATATGTATGTATAGAAAAACATCCAAAATGTACTTTAAAAGGTCATACATGTCATTTTAGATAACATATTTAAAAGCAGGTGGATATAAAACAATCTGATAAAGGAATCCAACAAACTAGTAAACACAATATCACATCAATAGATAAATAAAATGGATACATACTTTACCCTGCATTGACCATGTGGAAGACAATTTAAATAATAATAATACATTATTCAGTTGTCAAACAATTAAGCACATTACATTTTCAAATGCTCGTGTATCACAAATACTTTCTTTCGTTTGACAATAAAACCATGTTTAGGCTGGGACAGTTTTACACACCAAATAATACATCACATCTTTTACTGTACTATGATTAGAGTTTGCTTTTTGGAATTACACATTTAAAATATATCCTGTTCGTGGATTTACTGTAGTTTTTCAAATACGATGACTGCAAGACAGAGCATCTGATACTTGTGAGAATATGAGGTCAAGGACAGCGCATGGGAAAGTAATTCTGTGTTAGTTATGATATGCGTTAGGGAGTATGCAGAGCTGGGAACTTACGGATGAGATATGGCTCAGCTCTTAACTTGAATGTACGATCAAGGGGTTGCATGCAGAACATTGTGCTCATAATAAAGTTGTGCCATTAGCCTCAGTCATCCACAGAGGATGACTGCACTGTATGAGGTGGAAAAGCCATGGGATTTCCCTGAAAGTATTTTGACCTTGTATTTGTAGCAATAAAGTTGCACCATGTTGTCTGATATCAGCGTGGTTCTACATTCCCAGGCAGGCTGGTTTGTTACACAGTCCAATGACCTTTAAGTGACAGAGTTGTTGATGTGTATTACATTGAATGCATACAAAAGGATACAAAAATGACTTTTTGACTTTGACGTCACAGATGGAAAAACACAGTTGTTACTAATAACATTAACAATGTACTGCTCAAGTGTCCCAGTTAGCCGTGACAGTGTGTCAGTGAGCCAACATGCACATTACCAGAGCCCTGAAACCAAAGCAGCTAAACAGAATTCAGCCACTTTATTATTTACACCTGTGATTTTTCTGCTGTGCCATCCATTCAGAGTGAATAGGAATGTGAAGAACCACTTTAAAACCAGCTCATACTGGACATACAAATAAATGGTCAAAATACTTATTGACTCAAGAAATGTATTATCCAGACTTATTGTATGCAGCGTATACCGGCCACTTGTTAAACAAAAGTTTACAAGCATATTTACTTTTAGGCCTATGACCACATAGCTTTATCATGCACATGTAAGAAGCCACTGTATGGTTTATACTGTTACATGTACATGTCCGCAGAAAGACATTCTTGAGGGCTTGGCAATAATGGGGTTATTTAGTGAACATCCACTAACATAATGCACAATAAATGTTGCCCTTATTTTACAGAGAGCCAAAATGAAAGAGAGAACAGCATCAATGCACAACTGGGGTGACACTTGACTCTAAAAAGCTTTATGCTGTCATGGCTACCATCAATTTCTGTCATGATCCTTGAAAATAAAATGTCATGTGATGAAGGCTGTGTAACAGATTTAATCTGTCTGTATTGATCATATAGGTATAGATCTGATGTCAAAAGAAGTTGCAGAAAGGCAACAGTGAGTTTGTGTTTCCCTCTATTTTATGTTTGCAGAAAATATTATTAATTTGTAAAGTAAAATTAACTGAACTGTACGTGCGTACCTGTGCCAGCTTCATCATCATGTGGGCAAAGACATGAAGGAACCCAACTATAGCATCCCACAGCCTGCTGTGGGCCAGGGACTGCTGGTTGCCTGTGCATGGACCCTGAAGAGAGAGCCTGTGTGTTACACACATAATAAACACCCAGCCAGTGTAAATGCCTGAATTGTTCATATTTTACCTGAATGTATTCAGTTAGGCTGTTGAAAATCTGTTTTGCCACTGTCATGGCTTTGGAGAAATTCTTTTTGCCTGGTTCATCGATGACGTCCTTGCCAGAGTAATACCAGTAGAAATCACTGATAGACTCCTTGATTGGAGAAAAAAAGAGAATTAAGAAGAGTGTTTCCTCGCCATAAAAATATTTTAAACAAGATTTTTTTATCGTGGTAAAAGGTCTATCCCTTTTTAATCAATTAAAAACACTATAAGTACTTACAATTTCCCGATCATGTGATCACATGTGTTTCTTGGTCATCTGAGCTACCAAATGAAAAGCCTTTGGGAACTACAAAACGACTTAGGAATTCATAATTGATGGCAAAGTTGGATGTTTACCTCCAACTAAGCAGCTGCACATTCTGTTACACATGTAGCTTTAGTGACAATGTAATCCTCAATCTTTCAAACTTTCATTTTCATCCTTTATTAACTGCAACATCTTTAGGCTAAATTAAAGGTTGCACCTGAAGTCGGAGGAGGTAATCTACGGTACAAATGATGATGTTGATGGTAGTTGTGCTGCCTGTCTGTGTCCTCAAGTAGTTCTGGAAATCTGTAGCAACGTAGAGATTATTTTGAAAGATAGTAAACTTTCACAGTGTCTGCTTTAATCAAATCAATAATAATTCTCATTCATAACATGAGCTAATCTCACCGTTATTGTGACCCTCACAAAGCAGCTGCAAGAAACGGAAGAGGTCACAGGTGAACTCATCATCTGCCATTACTTTCTCATCTAAAAAAAGAAATGAACAAATGTGTTAAATAACATTCCAAATCAGGTTGAGACTAGACTAAATACAATGGTAAAAACATATTACTGTTTATTACTGAGACAGTTTGCCTGAGTATAAGCAGTGTAGGGATAATAAATAGATATTCATTTCTCCACTTACCATCTCCTCATAATGGAGTTTAGTAACAGACGTAGCAAAGCCCCCTCTGACCGAGTTTTGCTTCTGTTTTTTTTTTTTATATATATAATCCATTTAAGAATGAGTCACACTTAATTACATATATAATATTAATAGAACAAATACTGAACAATGGTCTGACAATGGTCTGACATACAATCAAATGTCAAAACATAGATACAAGAGGAGGCATCGGCATCGCATGCATGAAGTTAATGTAAAAACAAGTTGCAGTGAAAACTTCACACAGTCACATGAACATGTATAACATACACAGACAATAATAATGCATTGTCATACAAACAGAAAAACAGCATTACAGTTAAAACATTGCAGCCTTCAGGGGTGAACTGGTGCGTCTGGAGTTTTACTACTGGACTGATTCATTAACCTGTACATTACTTTACATTCTTATTATGCATAAAGAATGTAAAAAATATGTACTGAGATGAGAATATCAGGATTTTTTAGGTACGTATCATCCCATGTATAAAACCACTGCACCATTTTGACATAAGGGTTGTATAGTGTACCTGCCTGTTTAAATCCCAGTCCACCACTGGCCGTAATGTACACACACACAGACAGACAGACAGACAGACAGACAGACAGACAGACAGACAGATGCAGAATCATGTAGCACACACCGAATTTGTTCTGACATCTAATACAGACTTAGATGTCAGAGAGGTTGGGGCATTGTCCATCAAAATATTGAAGGGAATCCAGTGCCTGATACAGAAGTTCATCAGAGAAAGGGACTGTGCATATTTCAATTATATCAAAATGACAGTTTGAGGAGAGTTGAGCTAACGACATCTAACAGACTTGCTTTTAAATTTGAGAGTAGGTATACTTGAATCTACCAGAATACCTTTTCAATTTTTATGTTTAAATTGTTTTACAAATGATATTCTGTTAGATGTGTGTGCCAAGTCTTTTCAAAACTTGACGCACATTTGTTATTAAGATTGACTGCAGTCGCAGCAGTGTTTGTAGCTATGTTTACAGATATAAACAGCCTCTCTATAAATGATGTGACTGAAAAATGTGGAAGGAGTTGGGAAATAAGTTTGATCACTATTCATAATATAGTATGTTTCATGAAGATGTCACCCAGTATTTTATTTTATGAGCATAAGATTCCATTCATTCCCTTTTGAAATGAACAAGAGATGTGAGGAAGGACACACGCTATGAACATGAAAGATGGACAGAGGCATCCAATCCTCTCTTGGTTGAATTTTAGCGTTAGAAGAAGTGATGGAGTGAGAGGGACAGAGGAGAGAGAAATAAGAGGACAGGGAGGCAGATGGACAGAAACATGATTTACCCCGATCTAGGTTCAACTCTGAGGACCATGAAAGGAGGGACAAGGGAGAGGTGGCAGTGATCGTGGGGAAGGGAGAGAGGATCAGTGTGTTGACAACAGTAGAGGACTAAGAGATGAGGAGGGGGAGATTAACAACATTCCATGGCAAATTCATTCAGGTAGAAATTTCAAATGAACCTCCAGAATTAGATGACAAAAAGTTGGTAAAACAATAGGTGACTCCCAATCAACAGACAAGCTACTACTAGACATACTAAAAACTAATTCAAGTTATCTAATCCTTTAACAGTTATTAACCAAGTGTTAATACCTCATGTTAGGAGACTAATCATCCAATAAATTCAAATTGGATAGTAAATGTCGCAGATGTAAAACATTTAGAGGAAGATTAAATAATAGTATGTCTGTTTATCAATCAATGTATTATCTTGATTGATTAATTTATTTTCTGTGTTAATGGTGATGAGGCAAATACCTTATTTACACTGACTTGACCAGACATTTCTTGATTCTTGATGATTCAGATTGACCATTCTGACTCATTATACTGTAAAATGTGATACTGGATAGAGCAGAGTTGTCTGTGCCACCATTATCGCTTCAAAATGTGCATGATGTTGCTTAAAAAATATAAAATCCCCTTCGTTTTTGGCACCGGTTCCCACTAATCTATGCACAGAATAAACCTATTTGGGTTTTGTTGGTTAAGTCAAGTGAAGCCACCCAGATCTTTTGTACATGTGGAGCCTATTTTTCAACTATTATCATGGACTGGTTAGGTTCATTTTGTCTTCTTTTTAAAATTGTTCAATGTTTTCTTACCTTTATTTTCTTCTGTCTGAAGACAAGAAAATATTGAACAATTATTATCATGATTTTGGTTTTTACTTTGTTTATTTTGGCCTGCTTGCTGCAGTTGCCAATCTTACATCACAAAAATGTGCAGCAAAATGATAAGTTATCAAACAAAGTTATAACATCTGCATAGATTGTTTTTTGGATCATCTGTATAGATGATAAAGGGTCGGGCTATGATGTGAAATGCAGTCCATGTAGGCCGAGCAAAGTGCTGCTGTCATTACTTCTGCTGCTGGGTTGAAAGTTGCCGTACAATAAATAATGGCATCATCTGGTGCTCACTTACTTTGGAGTCGTTAATTGTCTCTGCAAATAATTTCCAAAGACAATTTGGATTTACTTTGAATGTAATTACTTTGTTTTGTGGTCTAACAGTGTACACAGTGTTCAGACAAAATGTGTGCCCGCGACACTTGTGTCCCATTGCTGTTGATTGTGTAATGACATCGGTGTGTTAAGTGTATTTAACAATGCAATCTGTGCCTTCAAATGATGCAGATAATCATTTACATGATAATATTTAACAATGACTGGGCCTGCTGTATCTTAGGCCCTTGGGCGTTTTTTGACCCTGTTAAGGTTTTTTTGGAGAGTTTTTCCTTATAAATTTATTTATAAGGAAAATATATTTATTTATTTATAAATAAAACTGATTGATTGAAAAATTTAATTGAATAGGTGATGTAGATTAAAGAGTATGGGGACTTACTAGTGCCCTCCTCTGACACCATGCCGAGCCCTTCGGCCTTGTTCTGCCTCTCGAAGGCATTTAGATCCAGGACACTGCAGAGATCACAAACCCATTATCAGATGTGTACTCTCCAAAACTTTTAAAATAATGTACATTTTGGAAGTCACTTTACTATTCAAAAGTTGAAAATTGCGTCAATTAATTGAAAACTGACCAGCAGGTCTGCATCAGTGCCTGGACACTCAAAAAGAAGCCTACATCCTTCTTATCCTTCAAGTACTCCAGCATTTTCTGACCAAAAAAAGAAGGAGTAATCCATAAAAAGTGCTTATTCAAAGGTAACTTCAAATTCAAAGTGACAAAATGTTTACAGAGAACATACCCTCTGAACCTCGCTGTTTCCACCGTTAAGGATAGAAATACCCAGTTTGAGGGTTGTTGTCACCATTGGGCCAGTTTCACCTACATGAAAAAAATGTCATTGGTTACAATAAACTGCATCGCAGTGCAGGCATGTTTGCAGGCAGAAAGTGTATCCTGAACATGGGGAGCGTGACCACCTTTGCAGGCGCTGATCATTTGCAGGACCATCTCTGCAGCACCACGATTATGAAGTCTGGATTGTTGGTACAGGAGCCTTTGTTTCTCCATTTCTTTTTCCTGTGGTGGACACGAACATTATGAGCATTTTGTGCTGCTGTTATATTTCACACAGAGAATTTAAATAGATAGAGTGGACTCTCTTAGGTCAGATATTTGATGAAGTATTCAGTGGCAGTCTTAAATAAAAAAACACCAGGATTGGGTGCTATTCATAGAACCATTACTAAGTTTGAACGCCAAGTCATTCCTAAGTTCTAAGTTACAACTAGTTTAAAAACTTAGGTTTTCATTACTTAAGAAATGTCTTAGCTAGAGGCGCAAAAGATACACTTTTTGTGAATGATATCTTTGTTTTATTTATGTCTGCATACATGGAGAATGAACTTTAAAGTTAGTGGTATTCATACAGTTTTGAATGACAGGGAAATATCTGATTATGCCAATCCAACTGATGTTGTTTGCTCCTTTAGTCAAAAGTAAGTCAAATATTATTGGCACATTGTTTCATACTGAGGCAGAGATTTACATTATTATGAAACAACATTTATGAAGTTTCAGGTTACATAAATATGGCAACTGTTTTACCTGTTTTACTCCTTACTGTTAGTTTGTTACATCTGGCAGTTACTGGTAAAGGATATTTACTAACTACTAATATTTGAGCAAGGACTAGCTTGTGTGACATAAGCAGTACATGTAAGGGTCCTCTAACTGACTTCCTAACCACTTGCCCTCAAATCAGAGGTGACTCTGTGAAGCAGAATCTGATGGTGTCCAATTCATTGCATTACACTCAACAAAATGTTGAAACTGTTGTTGAGAATCTCATCTTTGTATATCCAGTACACAGCTAATGGGGCAAGCACTGATGCAACCAGCTCCAGGTGTTTAATGTAAAAAGAGTTGTCCATTCTATCCATTCATAATCTAACCATCAGTCTAATCATTTAATTCACATTCACTCTTCATTCACTGGAGTCCCTAACTTTTCACTTAAACATGGTCTAATCACCTTACCTTTTCTTATCTCAGTGATCCATGAACGTAGCATTACACATCTATACATGAAGTGATCTTTAAAGAGAAAGTATCTACTCTGTTAATTAAATAATATATTCAAAGTCAGGTCATAAGTTTTCCCTTTGTTTTATATCAAAATATTCTGACACTTACTGTTTACCTTCTTTTCTCCTCCATGTACAGTAATACAGTCTTTTTACAAGCATTTGCATTATGTTTACAGTCAGTTCACAGTACCTGTCTGACCCTCGCACACATTCAGTCACCACACTTTATTAGTCATGGAGTTGTTACTCTACTTTTTCACGTTTGCCGACTGGAGCAAGCGTTAGACTACAGGAAAACAGCCCCATTGGCTCAGCATTTTAGCCGTATAGTTTACCAAAGTGTGTTTATTGCAGCAGCCCTGCAAATAAGACACTTTGTGCAAAAGCTGTAATCTCTCTGTATCGGAGATATTTTTATTTGGCATTTCATAGTAGTGTGCCTCTGCTTAAAGAAATGGCTTGAAATATGCAAATTTTAAAAAACATATTCTGGCTCCAAATGTTTTTTTATTTTTTATTTTTTTTATCTCTACTTGCGCTATTGCACAATTCTTAGTATTGAGTAGTATTGAGCCAACTGGGAATCAAATTCTTCTAGGAAGGAAATGGCAATCAAATAAATATCTCTGAATTCAGAAGACAAACTGACATTCCTCTGTTCAGCCACATCACAAATCAACTTGTAGCATCCCACATTTTAAACCCCTAACACCCCCCCTCCCTTACCCTCCCTCCCTTCCCACATCCAACCCCCCTCCCACCCACCCACGTATGCCTGGCCATGCTCTACCCACTATGTGTCGTGCAGTTGGACCTCAATCTGCAGTCCCTAACTGTCTAAGGAAACCTGACTATGAACTATGCACTGTATCATATATGTGACTTTTAAAACTACAAGTATGTGTATGAATGTATAACTTTTAACTCTGCATGTACTACACTGGCTTTCACTGTAGTCTGTCAGTATGCTATGTGAGTGGGGGAAGGGAACATTGATCAGTAGCATTCAGTTAATAAAGACGGGTGTTATGAAGGTGAGTGGGATTACATGGAGTGATGGGGAAAGAGACAGAGAGAAAGACAAATGGGGACAGCTATATAAACTGGGAGGAATGACATCACTAGTTGATGAGTTTGTGTTAAATCACACTCAATCATTTTCAGTAGAGATCTGAATTTGAATGGCCTTTAATAACACAGCCAAGATCATCTACAGCCTTTTTGTACAATCTTTTAGTGTGTCTAACTCCCCAGTTTGATATAAGCCCTCACACGTTTTGAAGGCATTTTTTAAATTTATATATTTTAGTAGTTTAAAGCAACAATACATGTTGACAAAGCACAACTGTCAAACAAACAAAAAGCTTTTTTAAATGGTTCAGCTCCAGTTGCTTTTAACAGTGAAGTCGGTACTAGATGTCTCAATGAGTACAGTGTCTGGGACTCATAAACTTGTCACAAGGAATGTAATAAAGTCCGGCGCAGTGGCAACTGGTGTTTCCTTTCAAAGTAACCCATAAAGTATAGAAAGCCCCACCAGTCCACTCTAATTCTATAAGCAGTACAGAGTAAAACTAGAAGAAAGGACAGTGTGGTAGGCTGTGTGGTATAACAGGAAACATTTTCAGCCACATTTTTCTAAGGCATTACTTGATTTTCATAACTTTATGCAAAGTGATTTACATTGTCCATCAAGCCGAGTTGATACCTTAATTTTAAGGAAATAATTATTAGTGATGATTATTAGTTTGATTATCTTTATTAACATTGTTGATGTTAAATTATATTAATTTAATCTAATAAGACCCAATCCAGATTCAAGGCACATTGACTAATAAGTCTAAAACAGTAAAGAGTACATTTAAATACTTGCAGTGCATGTTAGAATTGGAGTACAATAAGTTTTGTCCCAAATTATGGTGGGATTTGAGAAGATTATGGCACACAAACAGTAGTAAAAAACATCTGGATTGGAGCTTTGAGTTTCTAAATCAAGCAACTCACAATGAATGGAGCAGAACATACCAACAGGAGAGACAGAGGACAGACAGAACAGACGGAGGTAATGAGACAAAACACAGAAAGAGAAAGAGATGTGCTTGTGAAGTAATGCTCTGATGATGACGTCACTCAATGCGTTGAGAGCTACCGCTCCACTGTGTTCCTGGTCCCCAGCCCCTGGCCGCCCATTACCAGTTCTGACTGTCGCACCTCAAAGGACATCTCATCCTCAGCTTTTTCCACCCCTTCATCTCCCCCTTCTTCTTCCTCACCAATATGGCAACTCTAAATAAATGGAGAGGAAAAGAAAGAAATATAAGTGTTTCAAAGTATATTACGCACAAACCTCAACGCTTGGTCAGCAAACCTTTCAAATACTTACCTTTGCCATAATATCTGCATATGCCATATACAGATGATCTGTATCAAGTTTACTGAAATAGAGACAACAGAAGACAATCAGATAACAAGGAATAACATGCCACCCTGTGTTTATACCACATTCCTGCATTTCAGTGTTGTTGTATCAGCAAGGACCTCTCTAACCTCTTTTCTGTTAGAGCGGTACGACTGAAATGCAGAATAAGCTGGTGGAGGGGATCCGGCTTTGTTTCTCTTTCTTCCTCTTCATCTCCTTCCTCCTGCTCCATTGCTTTCTGGGATGTAAAAGCAGATGAAGGGTGAGTTATGGCACAGACAAAAAAACAATTCAAGATTAAAAACAGATGTCAGATGACACTCACAGATAAATCATCTATCATCCTGTCTTCAAATGAGTAACCCTCAGAGTGAAGCCAGTTGCGTTTGTATCCCTCGAGGAACATGTTTGACGCTCTGTGCCTGCAATGCAAAAAACAAAACACAACTAGAGTTACCACCTAACATTGGTATGCCTCCGCGAACCAGTCAAGTTGCAGTTACAATGTACAACCATGTCTATGAAAGCATGGATGCTTCACACTCTTGGTGCCCAAGATTAGTGTCACCGATTCAGTATCTGACCAAATGTCTCCCCTTCTGTGCCTGAGTTATAATGTCGAATAATGGCTAGAAAAGTGCAGAACATTATGATGTCACAGTGAAGCTGACCTTTGACCTTTTGCATATAAAATACCATGACTTAATTTTATCCTATTAGACATTTGAGTGAAGTTTTGTCATAATAAGTGTATAAAATCTTGAGTTATGGCCAATCACGTTTTGTGAGGTCACAGTTACTTTGACCTCTGAGTCCAAGTAGACATTTGTGCCAAATTTGAGGAACTTCCTTAATGGCCATCTTGAGATATTGCGTTCATGAGAATGAGACAGACAGAAGATCATATGACCTTGACTTCTGACTAAAAAAATTCTAATCAGTTCATCGTTGAGTCCAAAGAGACATCTGTGCCAAATTTTTGAGAATTTCCCTCACGAGAATTGGACAGACAGACATACGCATAGACAGACAGACTGACGGACAACCTGAAAACGTTATACCTTATTGTGTTTGTGAACACCCAAATCAGTGCATGTCAGTTGAGTCAGTGTGGATCCTCACCTTGGAATGTTGTATAGTGGTGTCATCCTAAAGCAAGCGACCACAGCCCTGCGTCTCTGCTTGGACAACAGTTTGTGCCACACCATCTTTTTGGATTTGAACGGGTGCTCCGTCTGTACCAAAGAAGGTTATAACAGTGTGGCCAAAAACTTTTCTATGATAACGTTTTATGGACAGCAGAAAAAGCCTAAAGTCATCATTTTTAGTTTTTTAACTGATTTCCCATATCAGTCAAATATTTTAAAAATCTTATTTTTTCAGAGCTATTTCCATCTCTGTCAGAGGTTCCTTCTCATGCTCCATGCTGAAAAGACAGTGTGTGTCTACAACAGTTAGTACAGGTATGGCTGAGAATGGCAACTCACCACTTCAAGGTGGTAGAGGACAGCAGAAACCTCCTGTACTCTCTTGACAACTTTCACTGGAGCGTCAGCATCTTCAGCCTTCCCTGCCATCTCCTTGTAGAGGGCCATCTGCCAGCGCATGGATGGGTTGTCCACCTTTGCACAGCACAGGAATACACAGCTGTCTGATGTGTATTGTGACTGATTATCTATTAGCACAAGTCTAATTCCTGGAAGAAAATACCATGCTCCAGGACTAACAGTCCAGGAATTATACCTTGCCCTGCAGATGAAGGTTGTTCTGCAGGAACTCTCTTACTTCTTCATCAGTGTCCCTCTGTAAAGTAAAAAGGTTTAGCACCTACTGTTCCCCTAAGAATGGTTATTGGTTAATGGTTTTTAATCACAGTATTTAACATGATAGAAATCAGACAACAGATGTTTACCAGTATCAAGTTCATTCAAAGTCAGAAAAAAATACCAAAGAGTATCGGATCTTGGCCAAGTTGATGAGCTCCTGGTCGGCAGGAGAGCACATGTTGAGGCCTATGGGGAGCATCTTTTTCAAGGCAGCCACAATAAGTGAAGTCTGCACAGAGTAACGATCTCCACGTCTTTTCTTCTTGGTGCGTTCAGTGTCTGAGCCTCCACCCTGAGAAAAGGGACAATAACCAAAAAGCATTCACAGTATCTCATAAAATGCCAGAGGTATGACACGACAGTTACCACCGCTTTGTATCGAACACATTGCAGCCTTGATTCAATGCCAGGCATCACTTTCATGGATATAAGACCTCATTGGTAATTAACTATTTTAACCATAATGCTAGGAATGACTGCAACACCATGACAGCAAAAATGAAACTGATATTATGAACAATATATGCTACTGTACTGTATGCTACTGACTGAGCACTTCTACAGTGCTGCAAACTGTCCATTGTGCTATTATGCAAACAGTCAATCTCTCCATTTAGAAATACCCAGCTACATTCACTGGGGAATTTACTGTCGACAATGTGTAAAGAAAACGTATTTCCTGTTATTCCCGGAATATAAAAATCATTGTTTCTCTGAGCTCAGACTGGTAAGTAGAGGGTATAGTGAAAATGTGTGGGCAAAGTGGGGATATAGCTGGAAAGGGAAGCTGAAAGGAATGGGTCTTTAAAAAAAAGTAAACCAGTGAAATTGCATTTACAAAACATGCAACAGAAAACAGATTTCATTCAAGTGACAACCCATCCAGCATTCCATGAACAGGATAAATAGCTACAACAAACCCATATGCTTTCCTCTAACTGTGGATTTAATGTAACAACAGCAGACCTTGGTGATTATTTAAAATATTAGATGAAGTTACAAAACAAAATTCGTGATATTAGAGTTAGAACTATTATTAGCAGGCTGTTAGAAGCACACACCTACTGTAAAACAAACTGTCTATGGGATATGTCCCTGTGCTCGCCTCCTGAACTACTTTTCAGTTTCTGTGAGAGTTCAGTTCTTCTGTTAACTGCTCTTTCTGGAGTCCTCCAAGACGTGTACATGTATGTCATATAATATATAAATGCGTTTTGGAATATGAATGTTTAGTCTATTAAATGCATGCTCTAGAGTAGGTCACATGGTATTTCTATTTGCGCCATAGAAATGAAGAGAACAGACTCACACAGTAACAGCCACCTCACAGAAAAATGTAGGGTGCACAGTTACTGGACTAATTGAGAGAGCCATATAAGTAAATCTAACGTGGGGATTTGGCGACCGTATTAATAAGTGATATTGAGACTACTTACTACCACTGAGATATTACACATATTGCTGCTAAAAAAGTACTAGATGCTCCTAATATGGTCCACTGAGCTTCACAAAATTCCAGTTATTATGGGGTTGTTTACAGTGGCTTATGTATAAGCCCTTAGCTTGCCTTGTAAAAATAACAGACTTAATAATAGACTAGATTTTACAGGTAGCTCCTCAGACACATACAAAAAGCTACAGCTTAATAGAATTTTTTTTTGTCATATTTGTTAAAACTGTATCTATATTGACACAGCAGTACATGAGATATAATCCATTCAGAGCCCTGGAGTGTCTAACGCAGCTGTCAATCATTACTCATGAACTAAAACTAGATTCTTGATTGTTTTGTACATGGTGGCCAGGTCACAAACTTTCTCATTTTAAAAGTTTCTGAAAACATTCGAGACGAGAAATAGACAACACAGGAGCAGAATATTGATTTATATTTGATTAGCACTGCCTTGTCTGACAATTTAACCACAGTTCATGAGCAGTGATTGACATGATTGACAGCTGTGTGATACCTCGGCTCTGATTGGTTGCTTTTGGTGAGCCGCAGTAGATTCTCGCGAATGCCATTAGAGGCAGAAGAAGGGACATGATTTTGTTTTACAGATTATCTGTATTATGCAATACTTTGTGGATGTAGTGACAGTTTCAGCACTTACAACAAAAAGTTACCAACTATAGTTTTAAGGCTGAAATTAAAAAGCAAACAGAAGAGGCCTTCTTTTCATTTTAGGTGGGCTATCATTCAGACTTGTACAATTAAGTTAATCCTGGAGGCCCTACACCCCCCATCCAAGATAAATAAAAAACACTTATCAGTGCCAAGTGTACTAACTCCATGTGTCAGCCACTGCTTCTGCTTCAATTCAGAGCCAGACGCAGGTGTGTTATGGAAGACTAGTTCAGAGGAAAAAGAGTGCAAAGCATTTTGGGGAATAATATCAACAATAAGAGTGAATTAATGTATTGGTTAGGTTCATGGTCATTTTGAGCACATTCTAAAAAAGGGAACCCAACAAAATGTTTTAAGAAATCTGCTTCAGTGATGTTAAGTATCGAGTCATGTGTTAGTGTGGATACTAGGGAGTGTAAAGGAAACTACACCATGATGTGCCATGGCATTTCCAGGGAGGAGAGAAGAAAGAGCACAGAGAAGACTAACATCATCCCCTAGTGGCAAAAAGCTGCATTACAAAAACTACAGATCAACCATCCTCCAACGCAAAGAAACAAAAGACATACTAGAAGACTCCACCTCAACTACGATCAGAAAAGAGCAAACTCAGTGACAGGATGATGGCACTGTGCTCTCACTGCCAGCTCGGGCTCAGTGTAGAGCCCAGTGCCATGAGCCCAACTCTACAGCTGAGTACTTTCATCAAGCGCCTCCAGACTCCCCCCCTCACACACTGGCAGGACTGGGGATGGCCCGCAGATGGGGACTTCCCATATGTCCAGTGATCCTGTATGAGAATGATGTGTGTTTCTTGCTAGTGTATAATCATTACCGTTTTTTCCTATGTGTAATTTTGCACTAATTAAAGTCTGTGAAAACATAAATCAGTTTTGTGTAAGACATGAAATGATCTAGTCAAAGACTGTTTGTCGGTACACAAGTGCAAAAACTCACACACTGGGATACAGCAATACTAATGGCAGTGTAAGTGGATCCAAATTCCATCTGTTGCTCCTTTGAAGAGACTTCTGGCTGGGATGTTCACATTCTATTAATATGTAGTTAACTGTTTGCAGTATTTATAGCAATGACAGATTCTCAACTGAGTTTTGTTCCCCTCTTAATAGACTGCTAAGTATTTATGGCCAAGCAGATACAGCTGCAAGGACAAAAAAAGCATTTGTCACTGCCACTGAATAAGTTGTCTCGGGTCATGTCTCTCTAAATGGAATGTGCGTGTCTTTATGTGTGTCTGTGTATTTGTGTCTTTGTGGATGTACTAGAGAGTGTGTGGATCAGATGTGCCAGTGTGCTGGAGAGGTTGATGAAAAGCTCCCCCAAAGTGAGGTGCCATGCGGTCAGCACAGCGGTCGTGCAGGAACAAAGTCTAACCTCTGAGTCCCCGCCCTGGAAACCCAGCCGCAACCCAAAAGAAGAGGACAAGGGACAGCCAAAGAGAGAATATTGTTAACACAGCTGCTATCGTTCTAAAATCAATCCTCCAAAAGTTATAGAAAGCTTTGCTATGTATAACCAAGCCCAATAAGCAAGAATATTAATGTACTGTACATATAAATAATCAGACACTACCAGGAAATTAGGCACTGAAATCCTGTACCTGGTAAAGAAGGTGCATAAATGCCTTTCTGTTTTAGGTTATTTGTTGGATTGTAATCTGTGACACTGTATTCTGAATTTCCTACAGCCATAGTAAGAGTAATATATAGACTGATAAATGACCATCTATAACTGGCTGAAAATGGTTGGTAAAGTAACAAAATCTTCAAATCACGATAAAAAAATGAGGGCACAAAGAAAGAAACACTTAGACCTTGTTTACACCTGGTATAGCATGCATCTTAGGTGATTGGATCACAAGTGGACAGCTCTAAGTACAGGTGTGAATGCACCAAATGCGTCCTGCATGCATGCATCTTGAGGTCCTTAATGGCCACATTCTTTCAGCAGTGTGTATGCTAATGTGTCTCGGGCCACAATGAGGGACCGCCTATTCAGCTGTTGTCCTGAATAGCAGAGGCAGTGCTGAAGGACCGCACTCTTCCTGACAGACTGTCAGTTCAATGTCTGCCATTGTTTGTACAAGCTAACATAGAAGACGCTATTAAACAGAAGGTCACACCAACATCAGAACTTCTCGACTCTGATGTTAAACCCATCAGAAGCTGTAAGGTAATAGCTGTATGATGCTAACAGTTAGTCCTGTTACTGTGTGTGTGCAGACTTTCACCAGTGAGTGTATAGCAGAACAAAACTCCCACCATTTAAAAACAACAACTTGTTTGGCATCTGCAATGGGAAATTATGTGCGTGTTTATCTGCATATAGAGCAGAGAAGGGAGACTGAGTCACAAGTGGTCACTCAAGACTCACGTGGAGACGCATTCCAGTGCCAGGTGTGAATAGACAGACTTGCAGCTGTCCACTCGTGATGGATCACCCAAGATGCATGTTAATACCAGGTGTGAACAGGCTCATACAGTTGTTTCACAATACGCCCGATTCGAGATCTGACACTATACCAGCCTCACTGCAGCACTGGCTCTGCCTCTCAACAACCCACCTTGCTCATTTTGCTCTTGCTGTCAGCAGTGAGGAATGACATGTTATTGATCTCATTCATCACCACAAAGTTCTGCTCTTCCCGTTTGAAGTTCTACAACACAGAGAGAGAGAAACAGGAAACACACAGTGAAGGATGCCAGGTGCAATAAATGACTCCAATTAAAGGCCAGATGAACATACTCACATGAGATTTGGACCAGAAAATAAAAACCTCTCCAACCATTCGGAAGAGCTCTTCTGCATCTGGGTCTGGGCATGTCAGCCATCTTGCCCTGTAGCAGAACAAATTACTTTGAGTCTACCCTAAGTCAGTTTTGCTAAGTGACAATATATGGAAAGTTAAGTGCATTATGTTATAATTCTGGCCACATCAGGCAGGATCCACTGTTCAAATGCTTTAATATGTTGGACTTAATTTAATTGTACCTGTTGTTGTCCACATAGCGAATAAGTAGAGGGTAGAGGGCATACAAGTCTCTGCACAGGACAGCAAACTCATCACGTATGGTGCCGTCTTCCTCATCCCCCTCCGATTTTCCCTCCATCCGCAAATGGTCCTCTTCAGCCACCACCTTTGACGTGCGTTTCTTCAATTTCTCCATTGTTGGAATGAAATGAGACTTGAGCATTTCTGGCTTTGCCCTGCTGACAATGGGCTGTGAAAACACTAACAGAGAAAACAAATGGTGTCACCTCACTTGTACAGAAACTCACTTAGTTGCACACTGCGACACATTGAAAGAGCTTGAAAAGGTGCTCACCAGCCAACCTCTTCATCCAAGAGGCTTCATCAATACCCAAGTTGTTGACTACAATCTTCATGATGCTGCCCAGCAGCTGATTAAGGTGTTCTGACGTGACATCAGTGCAGATCCGGCCCTCCATCTCAGGGAAGTTCTCAGGTCCTCTCTCCCACCAGCGAGGCAGGTAGTTACACAGCATGGGCAGGGTGATTTCAATTACATGAGGCATCTCAGTATAACGAGCTCCTGACTCTGCCAAGTCCCCGATCTCCTTTAGCAGGGCATCCAGCTCCGGAATGTCTGGGCATAATTCCTGAACCTCGTTGGGAAGGCCCAAGACTTTGGCATTGACAAGACAGATAGTGAAATTAATTAAATTCAGAAATAAGACTTTGTCAGACAGAAAACATATCTGAAGTAAGGAAATGCACTCACTGGCTCGCTCCCTGGGTGTCTTTGTGGTGTAAACAGAGAAAGCATTGAATTCATTTAGATGTGGCTCCAAGTAGGCCACTGGCATCGCTGCTGCAAGGTGAGCCAAACACTCTCCAAGAGCTGGCCTCTGCCTGTAAATGTAAAGGACAAGTGTGAACAAATACCTCCAAGTATCTACTTTTAAATAACTTCACATAATTGAATCTTTAATTATGGAGTTACCGCTCAACATGTGGATTCTTGACAGTCCCAAGGGAGTAGATGCTACACATGATGCGATAGCACGACATTTGTAGATCATCCACTGTATGCAAACGACAGAGACAGGTACAGCTGAGTCAGGATCTATTAATTAATAAACATCATGTAAAATCAATCACAGTACTAATGTAAAAGCACTCACGCATGACATCATCTCCGAACTGGTGCTGAGCAATGTGATCAAACAGGGAGGTCAGCACTGGGAGCAGGGCGATGGTTGTGTAGTTAATGTTCTGGGACACACCTTTCACTTGCTTTAAAGTAGAGAAGCAACACATGAAGTCTAGTGTTTAACAGATCATTTGCAACAATCAGGGAAAGCAATGTGTGCAAGGATATTTCAAATACTGTGTGCTTCAATTACCTGATTGCCTTTAGATACTTTGCCCAGTTTGAGGTTCTCTACCATCTTCTCTATATCATCGGCAGCACTCTCAAAGAACGACCTTAGCCCTGCTTTCACAATCTCAGGCCCCGACTTCATCACTGTCCTGATAAAGCAAATAAAAAAGACTGTAATTAAAGGCAAAAACATATTCATCTTAATGGTGTTGTGCATCTAGTGAGAAATTAAAAAACATCAAACCTTGCATCCAGTGAGCGTGCCAGAATGTGAAGACAGTTGACAATTGCTGGAGCATCCGTTCCTGCACATACAGATACAATTCTGCTGTTAGGAGGTCTTTCATTGAATTCAGTTCACCACATACTATTTACACATATACAACAAGAGCAACTGCACTCACTCCAACCAACCTGAGAGTGTAGGATAACACAACACAGCCATATATGAGAAACAGAAAAGAATGAAAAGATTCAGAAACATCCATGTTGGGAAACTGCCGTCTTACCAAAGAGAGAAACTCTGTGCCTCACCAGAGCAGACATTTTACAGAAGATACTATGATGAGAAGGAAAGGAAAGGAAAGGGAAGGAAAGAAAAATGCAAGAAAAAGGAGATGCTGATAAAAGGGGGAAAGTAATATATGAAAAGAAAACACAACATGTGTGAGTTAAATACTGTATATATAAAAAGAGATTCACCTTGCAATCATCTCCTTCTCCTTATTGGAAGAATGCCCACCACTACCCAGAACTTTTGCAGGCGTCGACAAGAAATAGAGGCAGTGGTTTTTGAAATACTGGTTGATCAGAGGCATCAAGATCTGAGAGAGAGTTTTCAAAGAGTGAGTTTTCACACTTAGTACAGAGAGGAGGACATGTTGGGTCGTCAAATTTGTTACCGCTCTAGCTTTACACAAAAGTCTCACCTTGGCAAAGAATTTGATTTCCTGCTCATGAGGGGACTTCTCCACTCGTCCACTGCTCACCACAGCCTCTGTGAAACACAATGCAAAATTTGACAGTAGCACATTAATACTGGAAACAAACATTTACACTGAGTCACACCAATACAATTCAATCAGATGTGACAGCATATATCCTTTATCTTTGCTCCACAGTACCAAGATGAGCGATGAATTCCTGGGCAATTTCCATCCATTTCAACAGCTTCTGCAGGAAACCATAAGCAAATCTCTTCTCGATGGATGAGATGTCACCCTCCATATCTTTCAGGCCCCTAAAGTGAAACAGAGTTCAACGCTTTGTTCTTCCTGCTGTGCTTGAATTATGTTTGTGTCATTTAAATAGGCAGGTGATCTGAGGATATATCTGCTAAGGCCACACAAACAAAATACAAAAATACATTTAGCAAACTGAATGAAAATCAATTCCCTGCTCACTGTTCTGTATAAATTGTTCTTCTGTATCATTACCTTGTGACAGCATATCCATTGAGCTGCAGGAACTTGAGCAGCTCATAAGCCTTCTCTCTATCTCTGGCCTTTTCTTTTGCTGTCAGAGTATCATAGGGCACCAGCAGAGGATGTGTTCCGCCTCCTACACAAACAGAAGCTAAATCAAAACTCTTGAAGGAAATGGGCAAAAGCCAAGTCTCTACTTTCCCATCTGTCAAGTTTCCTTTGCTCAAAAAAACATGCTTTACCTTTGGACTGCAGCTCTAACTTTTTCTTACGTCCCCAGGTGTTGTGGTAATTTTCTGCCAGTTGCTCTGCCATAGACTGTGAACAGATATAAACTATGAATACTGATCTGATGATGAGATTACAGCACAGAAGGTTCAAACATTACCTGAAGGTCTCTTGAAAGAGCCATGTGTGAGATATCAATGGGCTGTGGACTGTAGCCATGGCTTGGGTCATAGGTTGCCTAGAACAGAGAGAGTTATTATTATTTAGTGTACCATAAATAGCACTGCCGTGGTAATGTTATTAAATAATAGTATATTAATACAATGACTTTATACCTGAGCAGTCTGTGAGATTTTTCGGGATACTGCCTTCTTCTTCTCCGACTCCTCTTCCTCTCTAGCTTTATCAAGGTTCCACTCCCATGCAAGCATGGCTTTGATTGACTCCTTGATTGGCCAACGGTAGATTTCTTTGTCCTACCAGAAGAAGAGTCAGTGTGATCAGAAGCAGGGATGGATGCAGTAAAAGTACAGGGAAATTTAATGCACAGTGTGACTGTGAGCCTACCTTCTCTGAGAAGGTTTTGTATGGTCTGAGCATGGGATGAGTTTTTGCATTTTCATCCAGCGTCTCACCGTACGACCAGTTATTCTGGATCTGAAACCAAAAAACAAAAGTGTTACAGTTGTCATTTATGCTGATAAATATAATAGCTACCTTCTTACTTCAAGCACATAATATATGGCTGCTCTTATCAAACTACCAAACACATTGCTCCTGAGTTAACTGAAGAATAATATGGTACAGACTATTGTGAGTGATTACATCGAAAACCAGTTTTACCTTTTCAAAGGCCCATTTATCATGAGTATATTCAGCATATCTGTTGATAAAGGGATCCAGTCTCTCAGGGATGATAGTGCTGTGGTTGAAGGACAAATCAGTACATTTAGTATCAAATATTTTACAGAGAGAAGCTTTATAACTTAAAGGCATTATGACAAAAATCCTCTCACTTTGTGGTCTCCACTGGCTTAGGATCAAAGTTTCCTTCTGCATCTACTGATGCCTTTTTCTCAGTTTTGGAGGAGTAGCTGGCGTCTACGTAGTCTGGAGGAATGGCTCCAGCAATGGCACAGATGCATGGCATTGAAATTTTGAAAATCTCAGCATCAAATTTCTGGAATCACAATAACAAGAAATTACAATATGCTTATGCACCATCTTAGAAACTGAAAAGAAAAAAATCTAACATTGCAGGAGCTCCACCTTGTGTGCTAGCGATTCAAAGATCCCCCAAAACAGTTTGCGAGTTAGATGCAGCTCCTCTTCTGATGCAACTCCAAAGTTGGCCCAACCATTAGGGAGGCAATAGTATTTCCAACAACGCTCGTAGTGATTGGTCAAAAGCTGCAGGATGCAAAAAAACATTAGTGTGAAAATAAGAAAAGAATAGAAGAAGTGCATTTGTTTTAAAAGTTTTAAAATTTTCAAATGCCCTCATACCTTCAGTGGCATTTTGGCGTACTCATTGAGAATGGGCACGTCAAACACCAGTCGTCTTAGCAGGTGCTGAAGCATGGATGGACGTAGATGTCTGAAAGAAAGATAAATAAATATAACTTCAAGCATGAACCTGGCAATATTAAATTACATGAAAAGTTTGCCATGAGGTTAAACTCACTTGCACAAAGCCATGAGGCACTCTTCAATGATGTCTCTTTGGGCCTTTGTGAAGGCTCGTCCACGAGACAGTCGGTATATTGTGTGCAACATGGAGTCAATCATTATGGCTCGGTGGTCACTGCCAGCAAAGAGCGGGGCACACTTAGTGATGAGCGGTAACACAGCAGAACACAGGTAGCGGTTCAAAGCGAGGGCCATCTCTGTGGTGCTGAAAGCAACCTGTTGGACAGAAATTCCAGCACTGAATTATTCCAATAGTACGCTTATAATCCTGCTCTGCACTTCTCTTCAGGGACCATATATGAGTGCTTGTAAATTGTTTGAGGCTCACCGTGTCCAGAGAGGCAGCAGCCCTCATGTCAGGCAGAAAGCCTACCTCCAGCACATGGAGCAGGAAATCCTGATTGTCAATACCATACACTCTGTCCAGGAACAGAACCATGGGAGCTTTGTGATCAGGCACAAAACTAGCCGACATCTTTGGTTCGATGATGCTGTTGTCTAAACGCAAAATACACAAAACATTTTAGAAAAAAAACAATATGCAGAGTAAGACAGAAGTGATCTGATGGCGGAGGACACTTTTGACAATTGATACTGATTAAAGCCACCTAACTTCATGAATTCAATATGTTTTCCCCCTATGATTACCTTTCCCAAAAGAAGGAATCTGAACAGGAAGACTGATGACTCCCACCAGATCCTCAATAGGGACAAGAGACCTCAGGATGGCCCTGATCCTCAGAGCCTCACCTTTACCAGCCTGAATCAACTGTAGAGACAAAAGCCGTTTTTATCTATTAACACATTTTCAACTACATTTCTTATTCTTGTATCTTCCTCAACCAGTTTGAAAAGTCTGATATAGAAGCTATTAAACGGCTTACATGCATCTCTGGAGCACAGCGTCCCAGCAAGTCAATAAGGGCGGAGTAGAAGGACATGATGGCATTACCCAGGTGCACCCTGTTCTCCTCATGCTGCTCCTCTCCTCCAAACCTACAAGATAAAAGACATTAGCTCTAAATCTTTCTACTTCAGGGACACTGGAGGAGACAATGCACACTTTGGCACCTCATTAAATACCACCAGAGGGCATTCAAACCAAAGCTGAGAGCTCTTACATGGGAAAGCGTCTGTCTTTCTTAACACTGGGGCCATCCCTTGCAGGGTCCTCTGATATTTTGATGGCCTCCTCTATTGCAGCCAGCAGGCCATTACCACCCTCCCCTCTCAGGGCTGGACCAAAGCACTCAGGCCTGCGAATGAGGAGACGAACCACCACATTGGCGTTCTCTTCTACGCTCTCTCCTACAGAAGGGAAAAAAACAATGTATTAACTGTAAATGAGGGAGAAAACAGAAAAAATATGGGCATTAGAATTAAATATTGCATTAGGTAGCAAATAAAAAATCTGACCATTGACAAATACAGCAAAACGGAGAAAGTCAAGGTATTTCTCTCCACCACAAGGATTCCAGCCAATGTCAGGGTAGCCTTTTGACAGCAGCATTGGACAGCTTTGAAGTCCACATCCAGCCAAATATTTCACCACCTAAAAGACAGCAGTGTATTCCAGTGATAAAGAATTTTGCGCAGTGCTTGTTTTGTAATTACTAATTGTATTTTACCATTTCTAAATCCTGCTCTTGGAGAGCCAGTGCCAGCTCATTGTTGTCAATACAAGAGGCTGCAGCCACGTCCAAGGGGGTGGAGCCTCGCATTCCTAAAGAACAGCACACAATGTCCGTCTTAATCACACATCAAACATAAATATTTAAGAATAATGCTGAGACTCAACAAAAACAATCACCAAGGCCGATGCCGCTGTTCTGGAGAAGGTAGCTGAGGTGGTCAAACATAGAGCGCTGATTTTGACGACTGATGCGACAGAAATAGCAGAGAAAACGGCAACAATTTGTCACCACTCGAGGGAATCTGATCTCCTATTGAAAGGAAGCATGGTAGAAATGTAGCGTTAGTAGCCTATAGTAGCATATAACAGTCTTATATTCTACTTCTGTCTATCACCTGTGGTAGTTTATAGCAAGGTGTACCTGTATATTGAGCAATGCAGTTAAGTGGAAAAAAAAAACATACCTTTGAGTCCCCACCGCCAAGTACATTAACCATGACCTCCATGACAGTTTCATGCATGCCCAGAGCTCGCATTAAGTTTGGATGCTGATAGAAAACTTTGTTACTCATGATATTCCTAAGGAAGACAAAAAGTAAGTAAGGAGCAGTCACAAGCAAATATCCAAGAATTCACTTCATGGCAAGATATTCAGGATATGTAAAATTCTATATCAACCCAATGCTTTGAATCATAAGCCTCTCCTCTTCTGGACCCATCTGGACAATAAGTAGTGAGCGGATCTGGCCCAAACACTCTAATAGATCCATGGTGTCGTGAATTGACACTGCGTTGATGGTGTAGGCCTTGGGAAGCGCACGCATGAGCTCACCCAGCCCATCATACTGTCTGTGAAGGAGGCTGAACATCATGCGCACTAGCTCAGGGTTCTGGATAAATGACTCCTGGGCCCAATGGATCATAGTATGGGAAATTAGCTCCTGCAGTGTGCCTGGTAAAAACAGTACAGAGAGTTAAGAAATAAGGGGGTACAGGAGATTTTTGGGTGGCAGAACTCAATGAGCTACTCTAAAATAACTGGGAATAAAGTTCCCAATATTCTTTGTCTTTGATGAATTAGCAAGAGGAGGTAGTTCATATTTCACATGCAACTCACTTGGTTTTTTATCTTCCTGTGGCTCAGGCTCCACCTCCACCTTCTTCTCGCGGATTTTTTTCACCTTTTCCAGCAAACGGAGCAGTCGTCCACGGAGAGAATTATCCACTTCCTCCTCTTGTTCCTCTTCTTCAATATGAACACCTGAGAGCGAAGTTTTAAATTAGATAGTGTAACTTCTATTACAACCTGCCATCCATAGTGTTTGTTTTAAACGCTGAAGTCGGTAGAATTGAAACTGTAGACGAAAACTGACCACAGTGAGTGAGTAGAGCATTGTGAAAGGTCAACAGAGCTTCGCGGACCTCATCAGGAACAGGACACTCTTCATCCTCAGCACAGTTCTTGAAGTTCATAAGCATGTTGACCTACACAGCAGCGAGACAGTCAAAATGGTTCATCTTAAGAAGTGATATTTGTTCTTTGAGGAGTTTCTACAAATGTTCTGGGTAAGTTCTGGTTTCTGTGAGCACATTTTTAAACCAGCTGTACTGAAAAATTCACAGTTTGATTTTCTACCATCTATATTTGCCCAGTTTTTTACCAGAAAAAAATAAATGACCTTTTAAAACAGTGTTTTTTAGCTAGATTTTCTTTGACTTAACAATCTTTTTCTGTATGTTTTTATGTGGGTGTACCTGTTCCTGTGGTGGGGAGCGAAATTCACGGGTCTTGCGGGCAGTCTCGGCTGCACTCATGGTGAAGGCCAGCATGAGTTCATTGTAGCGCTGCCTTTGGTTGGACTGTATCCGGCTGACAAACTGGTCTGAAAAGGCAGTGATGCCCTCCACTCTGTGACGCAGCTCACAGTCACAGAAATACTGCAGTAGAACACACATCTAAAGGACAAAAGTAAAGTAAATCATTAATACTTTACCAGCAGTGTTACTGTAAAGAAGAGCTTATTTGCAATCATACCTGCAATTTGACAGACTCTGGTAGCTTCATCTGGAAAAGCCCTTGCTCTAGACGTTCTTCTTTATCTTCTTTAATTTCTTTCTCTGTCTCCTCAGCTCCTTTCTCGCCATTCCCTTGCTCTGTCTCTTCCACTGTTTCTTCAGGTGGCACGATGGTTTCTGGTTCTAATTCTTCCTCTTCCTCCATTTCCTCCTCATCTTCCTCACCCAAGCCATCATCCTCATACTCCTCTTCTTCTTCTTCTTCTTCTTCTTCCATGGCTTCCTGCTCCTCTTCCTTTACAGCTCTGACTTTTGGGGGTTCCTTTTCTTCCTTCAAAGGGGCAATCTCCTCAGCAGGCTCCTCTGGTTTCTTGCCACTAAAGACTGTAGGCTCAAGCATCTTCAGGATGTGTGTGACATCTTCATCATCAAACACACCCATGATGAGGAGGGTACTGATGAGCTTCAGGATTGGAACAAAATGAAACTCAACACTACCTCCCACTGGATCTCTCATGGCTTGACCTCCATCTTGCACAGCCTCAGTCAGCATGTTCAGGGCCTTGGTCTTTAGCACCTGTAAAGGAATGACTGGACTCAGAGTGTAGATATCTGGATCTGTTCCAACAAACCCAACGGAGGAGAAATGGAGTTTGGGTCGCAGACATGTAGTGAGGCCCACCCCAGGTAACGCATGAGATCTGTCAGAGTACAGAGTGATACTGCGTGTTTCGTCTGTCATTGGAACTATGAATTCCTTGTTGGTTCCCAGCCTGTTCCTCTTGGCAGACTCCAGGTGCATGCTGATAAGCAGGTCATAGAAGCCGCTCCTCATTGGTCCAGGTAGGTAGGTGTTTTCTATGGCGTAGAAGAGCTGGGACTCGTCAACATGGCTGCACAGAGCATGAGCTACGCGGTTATTTCCCAAAGCACACACTAAGCCATACAGCTTTAGAGTATGATAGTGGAACTTCAGCAAGTCCATACGTTCAGACAGCTCCAGAATGTCAATACACCTAGAGGACACAAAGGAATAAATTTAGCTTAAAAAAAAAAGAGAAAACAGTACATTTTTGTAACTTCAGCTGAAGAAGAGTTCTGCCTTAGTGCATGGACCCACAAAAATCTGCTGCCGATCCCCCATCCACCATCTTCAGCTACTGCCTCACATAGATTCTAATTCTGTGGCAAATACTGAACTTCTGACAATGCAACAGATGAAAGCAGAGTGATGCAGCTCTGACCTGTTTTCCTCTGGGATGTGGAGAGCCATCATGGTGAGTGGCTCCTGACACAGCACTGCCCAGCCCAGTTTCTCACTAATACGTCCTGTCTCTGGGGCCAGGAAGTGGTTGGGCATGCGGCTCCAGATGACCGGGGTTAACATCTGGACATCCAGTCTAGGAGGACACTGGGGAACAGGGTTCTTGCGTTCGCTCCGGAACATGGCAGCTGAGATCGGCATAATGTTCTAGCATGACAGGTAAACAAACATATTATATATTAGAGAAAACAGTTATCAAAGTCGGTAATGTGTAATGGCAGTCTTGATTTTGAGAACTGCCACAGACTGAGTGGAATGATTCTTTGTGACTGACCTTTAGCTTGCCTAGTTCGAACTGAATCATATTCTGACTGGAAGGAAGGACAAAGACAGCTGGGAACAGTTTTGTGTTGGGCTCCACCTGCAAGAAGGGAACATAACATGGTTGCATAAATTACCAAGACTTCATATGGAACAGTATAAATACCAGTTTGAAGCTTATCTGACCTGGTAAAATGTGTTGATCTCTTTTCCATTAGCAGTAAAAGTCATAAGTCCGGTGTCCAAATCAATGAGACAACCAATCACAAAATCTTCTTGACTGACTCGGGTTTGCTGGGAGCTGCTGAACTCCCCTCCCCAAACCATGTAGCAGTTACTGCGTTTTATACTGAGGAAGACAGAAAAAAAAAATCAGGAAAAAATGTTCTGCATTTTTGTCATTTTAAATGAAAACACACGTTTATTGTTTTCTATCTTCAAGACTTACATACCTGTCATGAATGTTGCCTTTGTCATCGCCTACAGTAACTGTTACATTTCTCACTTTGCTGATGTCAAAATGAAGGTCATACTGGTGATAGTCAGGTGTGATCCAGCCCACCCACACGCCACCGGGCTCCTGGCCCGCAAACACTCTCACAGAGTAATAGTACTGGTAAATAAAGGAGGTGGATGAGAAATAAACAACAGTATAGTTACAGGTGAAGATGACATCAGAACAGAACTGCCAGGTTTAATATGTAAAATGATGTAACAAATTCAACATTGCTTATATTGTATGTTAATTATTGTATTTAAGATCAACAGTCTAAGCACAAATGAGCAAAGTGTGCATGCATTTTATATGGATATCAATATGATAACCATATAAATATAAGTTATCGTCATACTGTAGTGGTGTTGAGGATGATGTCCATGTCATCCCTGTCATCTGGCACCACATCCTCCATTAAGCGAGGCATGGTGGGAACAACGGGGGCTGGAGTTATTAATGCCGCCTTCTTGGCCTTGAAAAACAATCTGTAAATAACAGCAGCAATTACTCACAACATAAAAATGTAAACATGGTATCCAAGCCCCCCCCCCCTCATACACCCCTTCTCAAGACACTCGAAACGAGTCTATACAAACCCTTTCTTCTTGCTTTTCTCAGTTGAGGCATCCTTCTCATTTTCCCCATTTTTGATGGCAGGGATATCTTTGGGCACAGAGGGTTCTTTCTTCTCCTCCTCCTGCTCTTTGCGAGTAGCTGACTTCTTGAGTATTTCAAAATCAGAGTCTGGGTCTACCTCTAACACCTCGTCCTCAGGGATGGTCAGTGCACGAGTAAGAAGGGTGGTCCCGGCAGGGACTTTGAATGTCTCATGAAACTCAACCGGCATTCTGAGTCTGAGGAACAGCAGATCTGTGTTGGCATTCTGAGATCCGAATGTCTTGTGGGTCACTTTGAGACAAGGGGCAGTTTCCACTGTCCCATCAACACGAGACACCTAGAGCATAGATAAAAGGGAGCCAGTTGGTGATGTGGAAAATACTGACTTATTCATAACTGGAACAAAAAAATATATCATGAAAACACTACAACAAGTACCTCCATGTGAGGATGATCAGTAGGCACGTTGATGAACTGTGGAAGGCTCTTGCTGAACCACATGGTAATGTCTCTTTTCATGTTGATAGCAAAGGGTTCAAATCCCTCCTGGAGGCCACAGATTGTAAAGAAACGAAGACTGCTGACGTTCTGACCCAAATTGATCCTGCCGACCTGGGACAAGCCCAGACTGCACACAGGTATGAAACCTAGGGATGTTCGATACATACATGAGCATCAGCGTCGGAAACACAAACTCACATGTGCTAGCATCCAATGTCTCATTTATTTGTCACTGTACTGACCCTCTCCTATCTCGATATCCTTAAAAGCCATCTCAGAGCCTGAGTCGCTGATCAACATTTCTCCGTTCAGTGTAAACATGATGTTCATCTCTGTGAGGTCAATCATACAACCCACCACATCACCAGACAGCCACTGACGACCAAATGGCTCATTTCCCACATGCCAACGTTGGGCCTGAAAAAACATAAATGCTAATTTTAGAGTTTAGCATTACAGAGGCTTTAGAATCCTTCACAAGCATGTAAACTAAGTCTTGCACCCACCTTGAAGCCATTAAAGACATACGCCAACTCATCTGCACCAAGTTCAGTGTCTGCGCGAACGCTTGGCCTGGCCCAGCCCACTCTCATCTCCCCGACTGTAACAGCCTCAAATTCAAAGTACCACTTCCCCTGGGTGACAGCATATGATTTCTCTGCTCTGAAGACTCTGATCTTATCACCAGTTGCTGGCCCGTGCCCACCTACATTAACACAAACACAATCAACACTTAATAGAAAAGCTTGTAGTTTCAATGAAATGCCGATAGCTTTAAGAACAAGTCTTATAAGACTACATAAAAAAAATCCTGCCATCCTACTTGAAGATAGCAATCTTTACTTACTGCTTTCCTGATCAGGTGGTTCTATGTTGTAACCATATCCGATCAGAGTGCGAACAGCTGCACAAACTGTGTCTCTGTTGGTCTTTTTAGTCTTTTCATCCAGTAGGTTGTAAGGAACTAGACGGGGATTGCGCTTGTTCATTATATCCTACACAAGAAAATAGTATCAAACATGAAAATGTCATTAAATAAATGTATAAAAAAGGACTTTCATGCAGCATGTACCCATCAAATTATCTACCCATACTTATTACATATATATTATATTATTATCAAGATGCTGGTACCTGCACAATACTGTATGTCCAGCCCTGGCGAACCCGGTCTCTTGCCCACACATTGTGTCCATTTTCTGCAAGTCTCTCCACTAGGGTGTTCTGATTAGGAGTTAGCTTGACGTGGTTGAGGTCCAGAGGGGCTGGCTTATATCCGCTACTCTGCATGTAACTAACAAAAAATGCAATGTGATCAGAATGGGTCCTCCAGAGCTTGTACAAGGCCATTAACACTATACTGATAAACGAGCAGCAATGTCATAAAATCAGTCAAAATAAATGAATGCCTTGCAGCTCACGTTTTGGGAAGCTTTGTCCTTTTCAGATTCTCTTCTGCTTTCTCATCTCCCATTCCCACATGACAGCCAAGTGCCAGCAGAGTCCTTTGAAATGAATCACAAGAGGTGTTAAAAATCCGAGAAGATGAAAGCACAGTGCTGTTAATTAAGCGAGGGCGTTGACTTACTTGAGGGTCTCTCCTGACATTGCTAAATTATAGTTCTTCTCTGGTTCAGGCAGACTCTGGAAATCTACCAGGCAGGGGTGCAGCTTCTTGTTGTCATCACGAAACTTGATTTTAAAAAGTGAAGTGCAAAGATTTTTAAGGGTATTGTAAGTGTACACAGCAACATTTTCTGTGGGAAACACTGAAAACACTCACTGGTCCAAAAGTCCATCCTTGTTCAATGCGAGTAACAGCCCATAACTCATGGCTGTTTTCTGCAAGCTTCTCTCGAATACGCTCCAAATGAGGAGGGAGTACAATCTGGAAAAAAAAAAAAAAAAAAAAAAAATTCAATGTCCTGAAAAAGATAAAGACAGACAAGCGTATGGACTAGCATTTTACCTGTATAGTGTCCACTGGACAAGGCGTGAAGGCTGTATGTGACAGGGACTGAGTTGGACCCAACAGGTTGCGGACACCATCAAAGTCATGCTTATACTCTTTGATGGGCTCAATCCGCAAACGGTCCCTGGGCAGCACTGCTTCATAGCATGGGGCATAACCTGGAGGTGGGAGGAACTTGAAATCCCCATGACGCCCTCCGAGAAGAAATCTCAACCTTGCAGTTAAGAGTGAAAACTTTACATTAGGCTCATATGGAATAGCTCTGCTGCACAAGAAAAACATAAACTCATAATATTATTTCATTTCATAATTCACAATGCCCTACTTTACGCCCGCAGAGAAGCTGACAACTGGAAAGAACAAGCCGTCCAGGTTGAAGTTCTCAAACATGCCCTGAACTGGATGCCCATTGATACGGAAGGAAATACTGGGCACTCTCAGATCCAAACAACAGCTGACGACATCCTCTGCTGCCAGGACGTGCTGATTGGGTGTGGCAACATGACGCGGAACACGTCCTGAGGGCACATGGAGCAAAGTAATTAAAATTTTGTCAATATACATGATATCTTAATGAGTTTATCTGTGTAACTTCATGTACGAAAACATAAGTGGCTTGGGGCACAAAAGCACAAGATTAAATTCATGAGGATACAGACAAAAGATTTTTATAGAGAGGTAATACATGTATATGTTCTTGGGAAAAAATGTCCAGATTTGATCAAGAGATGCTGCTGGTGCTGAACAAATGCATGCATGTTTACTTTACCTGACCAGAGGTGAAGCCCGTCAAAACCGTAGGAGTAGAGGTCATCTCCGACCCCATTGCCCCCCCAGCCTTCCCCTCCACCAGGGTAAGGACTGTAGCCCTCCGTCAGAGCCCAGCCCACACGCAGATGATATGGCTGAGCTGTAAGGAACGGCTCCACGTTGTCCACCATCACCTCAAAATACCACTTCTTATACTGAGTGGATCCTTCACAAGTTCCAAGGAAAATGTTGGGTCTCATGCTAAAGGAGGATTACAGAACAAATTAACTCAGATGTTTAGATAACTGGGCTTCAGCACTGAGAAGAGCATTAAGCTTTTCAGTCATGTACATGAAATAGGCAGGTTTTTTCCTGTAACTTATCGTTATGAAGTAAATGTTTATTGTGAAATGTAATAGCTACAGAGAGATGACACATTGGTTCCCTATGAGCCTCAGTTTCACTGTAATTCTGTCTGCCACTGGGTACGATCTCCTGGGAAAATGTAGGCTTAATTTACAGCACAAAGGAAGTGCGTTAACCACTGCACTACCAACACAGAAAGAGGAGAGCGCTGTGTGTTCATACAGATTGACCCACCTGGTTACATAATTGATAATGTTGGTTTGAAGTAGGAGGTCACGACCCGGAAGCAGATTCTCTGTGATGAGATTCTGATTTGACCTTACAGCAACCCCGTTACACACACAAAGAGAACAGAGCACATCCAAGACCTGGCAAAAAAGGGAGACAGAAAGATTTGATATATTACTAAACTTCATATATTAATATGAACCGCAGTCAACAAAGAAGTTTCAGGTTTTTCCCAACATGCTCCACAAACATTCTCCTGACCTTATGATTGCGTCCATGCTTATCCAGCAGAGAGATGATTGATTTGATGTGATTCTCCTGGATAATATTCAGCACCTCTGGACTTTCAATCAGAACACAGTACAACACCTCCAGGATTCCTGTCATAAAAATGTGATTGTACATAAATAAACACTGGCGGTGTGTGGTTTTATGGTAAAAAAGCACTATACAATACAAATTTGGTTTTTAATGACAGGGCAAGGTGAATCATACTAGTGAACAGCACACAAGCTTTCATCATTTACAGTAATGTGCTCAGTCTAATACCAGTTGGCTTCTGGAGAGAACAAACAAAAAACAAAATGTTCATTTCAATGAGCTTCTACATGTCTTAGATACCTGAAGATGCCTCCAAACGATCCAATTTACTGACCAGCCAGTCGAGGTTATCACAGAACAGGGCACAGTTAGCACGATTACCTCTGATCAAAGAAGCTTCACAAAAGAAGAGAAAAAAAGAGAAGCAGTAAAGATTGTTAGTGCACCATATTCACAAACAAGAAAGGTGGCTAGATATGGGGAAGAACATAAAAATGTTTAATCTAAAACCACCATGAATGCATACCTAGCAATTCATACAGTAAATTTACTATCTCCTTCCATGACTCTGCGGCTTCTTCCCCTGCATACTCTGAGAAGTGGGCTGCTGTGTTGTAGACATTGAGCCGATCAACACAGTCCAGGACAAGAGTAATCATACCCTGTTAAAAAACAGTAATAAAATATAGAAATCTTAAATATCAATATTGAACAGAAATAAATCAACCAAACCAAATTACAACCAAATACATCCTAAAATGCCACTGTTACACATTTTCATGCACAGACCAACCTCTTCTTGGAAGAGGTTCTGTCTGTTCTTGAGGGAGCGAAGCTTGAACTGTTTGTCCTCGTGCTCCAGCTCCTCCTCTGGGGGTCGGAAGTAGAAAATGAGGTCCTGCAGGGAGAGCACTACTGTGTCCATGGGCAGAGATGGTGGGTTGGCAGATTTGTTTTTCCCGCTCAGCGCATCTAGACCTCTGAAGACACGAAAAGACCGTGAGAATATCACAACAAATATGCTGTCATTTAAAAATAAAAACATGGCTATTAGCATTAGCATTAGCAGCAAGATTTGAATAAACTGAAGTAGTGTTACTTGATGAACTGGTTGAAGAGGCCTGTTGTGCTGAAAATCATTCTGGCTGCTTGGGACTCTTCAGTCTGAGATCGAGCCACTGTGAGTGCATCATCCATGTGACCCTCTTTATGGAGTATGGCCTAAGAATTGAACACAGGTTAAAACAGTATACTCAGCTGGCATACATACACACACTACATGCTGACTCAAATGTGTTGGAGCTGTAACTGTAGCACCAGCACTCATTTATGACTTATAGTTTACTGATCATTTTAATGTCTAATTCTAATTTACCTTTCTCTTCAGAGGACCCAGGCGGGCAGATTTGGCATCAACAGCAGCATATGTAAGCCAGAGGCCAGTTGAAACATGCTGTACAAAGCACATTGACTCTCCGTACTTAATCTCAGGCGTGCCCATGCCTTCCACATCTCGCTTTTGGGCCACTTCAATTTTTTCCTGTAGTTTAAATAAAAAGTGTGTTCTTCATTAAGTGGTAAGAATCCCTACACTGTAAAATGGAGTCTTAAACAGAGATTTATGGCTCAGCTGATATTGCATGACAATGACCTTTGAAATTCTGACGCAGAAGGCTGACATCTTGGAATTTGCCTTCTCCGGGTCCACCAGCAGCAGTCCTTTCTCTTCATCCAGACAAAGGTATCTGCCTGTTGTTATGTGACGAATCCGGAAAGACTGGCCCCATTTAATGTGACCGCCGCTCCAACTACCAACCAGCACAAATGAATGAGCCTAAGCATACTGTAAAGTCACTAAAGGTAAAACACATTATTAAATTCATGAAATAAAGACACTCACGCAATACGTAGTGGCTCAAGTCTCCATAAGGATCGCGCATGACTGCACACAGCCCCTCCTTCATAATGAGCAACTCTGCAAAAAGCAACATGCAAGTCAATGATGAGCAACAAATGACAGGAAATTTAAGATTGACAAAAACATTCAGATGAATTTCAAATGGTTTCCAATTATGTCAGTACACTATGACAATTAACCTGCAGACACTTGAAGTGGTCTTCAGATAGGTAGCACATTAAAAAGAACATTTGTTAGTTATTCCATCATGATGTGGTAATGCAGATTGCAAGCAGTGACCGCTCTGGAAACTCCTTATTGGTGTGTTCAAGAACCCTATGATCCTATGATTTAAAATGCTGAAAAACATTCACAAGCAGTGTTGCCAAAAAGCAGAAAAAAATGAAGTGCAAACATTTTGTAAAATGGATAAAGGGCCGTCATATTCATTAAAAACTTTGTCAGGTGTGGGAAAACTTTCAAGACAGTCCTTACATACCCTGCATCACAAGAAACAAAACACCAGAGGCAGGTTTTATAATTTAGTTAACATGCCAAAAAACGTATTGGTACGCCTTGGGAAATTGTTGACATAAGGTGTAAAGCTAACCAAATCTGTCAATACAGTGTTAAAATATTCAATGGCATTTACAGCAGTGAAAGATTTTGGTCACCTGCGCTGGTCGTCCCCTTGGTCAGCTCCTGGGATTGCCAAACACTCATCCATGTGTCCATGGAACAGCCTGAGCACATACCCGCCGGTCAGAAAACCTAGCGAGTAAAGAGTCATATTGCCTGAGAGAGTGGACAGTTTTATGGACAAAAGAATTTCTTTTTAGCAACAACAAAATTACAGACCTTCAGCAAGCTCACATCCAGACATCACAGGGGTCATCGTCCACAGCGTTTGCATGAAAGAGGCATCAACCATCAAGTCACCACTGGCGTAGGACAGATGCTAAAAAGAAGTGCAGGCTGTAATATTAGTAGGATTTATTGACAACAATTTTTCAGTTACAGTGCAAGTAAATAAAATCGCGGTTACCAGGTATCGCTCAGAAGAAACACTGACAAGAATGAGGTCATCTCCCACCCTGACCTTCTCGCCTTCAGACCTTTGCTTGGAGGCCGGATGGATGGTCCACCAGCAGGCCTCTCCTGTGACGGACAAACAGATAAAGAATGAAGAAATCTATCTATCCTATCCTACCTATCCTGTGTGTGGGACATAATGGACAATGAATTTCATAGCCACCTGTGGAGTCTTCCTGTAAGCCCACATCAAAAGCCAGTTTGTCTGTCAGTGAGCGCGAAGTAGTCAAACAGCTCAGATACTGCAGCATAAAGAGTGGGATAACAACTTAGTGTCATGAGATGGGATGCACTCCAAACAATTAAGAGAAGAATAGATTGTGAGGATGGCTGCTGCTTAGAGGAAAGGACAGATCAGAGCAGCATTAGCCACATACTTGATTGTAAATGTGCTTACCATGCTGGAGTGAGTGTGTTTCAAGAGGATGGCATGTCCGTACAGGAGGGTTCGGTGACCCCCACCTTGTGATGACTGGGAGAGGGAGGTGGAGGCACAGCAAATAACAGCAAATATCAATAGGGCAAGTTTACAGACTCAGTAAGGAGGAAAAAAAAATACACAGCCATATTTAACAATTGTAAAACCAAGCAAGTGCAGGCGATAGTAACCAAACTAAATGATCTCATACCAGCTGAGGCAAATGAGAAAAACAATAAGTTGCATGATAACATTTTTTGTATGATAACACCAATGATGTGAAAGGTAGCTGCAATGAACTTTCAGGGTGAAGCAGTACACAGTGACAGGAAGAATGAGCAAACATACCCATTTGTCCAAATCAACAGCCTATGGTGGGCAGGTGGGAGTGAAGAAGCGTGTGCCATCAAGTCAGAAAAGAAACAAAGTGCCTTTCAGTTGTTGAATGACCAATACACTGTGATCGTTAATTATATCATGGGTTCATCCCATGTCTTACCTCGTCCACAGAAGAGTTGGACAGCATCTCCTGTAATGCCCGCACAGACAGGGACTGCTCCAAAATGAAGCAGCAGATAGCAAGGTCTGGAGGGACATTCTGAAACACAGGACGATCAGTAAACCTGGTGAATAGTAGAAATTAAATTTCTCAAAGAAATTAGAAGAAAAGCATTAAGAACCGTGTTTGACTACCTGAGCGTTTGAGGTGGTCTCAAGGAAGCACAGACGATTCCCAAATCCTTCACATGACAGACACAGCTTGATCTGCTCCTTCAGAATAGATGCAGTGCACTGCAGCACCACCTGATCATCCTACAAAAACAAAATAAGTCCAAGGTGAAGGAGGAGTGTTTTCAGGGGCCTTTTTTGCAGGAAAACATGGGGATAGAGCAAGAGGGACTGACATGCAACAAAGGTGCCCAGCCAGTATTGTCTGAGCTAAACCTGTCTCTACATGAAACTGTGAACATCATCTGTGGATGATCTTGAGTAAATGGGTCATGATTTCTGGAAAAATACATTGCTGTTGAGTATTTCAAATGTATATTTGTGTGCTTTAAGAAGCACAAGCCTAATGTGATCGAGTTGTATTATATTAGAGAGAAGGTAGACATCTCTACAGCCGATATCCCCAACACTCATCAGCTCCCATTAAAATAATCTAGATTGATAGGTTAGCGCTATGTTTTTGATTTTGTAGCGTTAAGTCCCTTTAAAACATGCCATTTATGACTGATCAAATCCATATGACGTGAACTGTACTTTATTTGCGAGGGGTGACATTACAAGTGAAACTAATTTAGAGCTTGTTACGTGCCAAGGAAGCTGTTAACAAAGGAACATGGATGGTGTAGATGTCCAAATGTATCTCACCACATGATCATTTTGTTTTGGCCAATAAACCTTTAACCAAAAAGTCAAAACTGAGGCCAACATAAGTAACAAAACCTTGGGACATTGCATGAATAGTTTCCATACACAACTTTTCCTAACCGTCACTTGTTTTTGTCCTGTTAATGTATTTCTCTGTGCCTGTCACTGGCCCAGCTCTAATCTCCCCACCTCTCTGGCCTCAAGACACCAGCCACTCCCCCTCAGATCTCTATTTCAGGCCGCTGCACCTGCTGTTCACACATCCCCTTCTGGAGAGCAACAGATATTTAGGATTTGACTGCCAGAAAAAAAAGGCCCCCATTGCACAGATTCAATATCTTAATTAGCTATATTGCTGAGGAGAGGAATATTTAAAATGTTCCTTCAAGTCACCTTAGCCAAAAACTTCACGCTCGGCTGTTTGTCAGCTGTGTTGGTTTAATCTGCAAATGCTTCTGATTCATTTACACTATTAATCAAGACATGTCAGTAAGTAACAAATTTCATTTTACTACAAATAGTTCAATATAGTTTATACAATTGTGTGTTTGGGTTAAATGTTTGTGTAATTTACTTTTGTTTGTGCCTTATTTTAGTTGTTTCTGAGGCTGTAAACTGGCAACAGACTCTGCAAAAATAAATATAAACTATATTTAAGATAATTTGTGTTGTGCCTGAGTGAAGGGGAGATGGTGCAGTCTGTTTCCTCTTCATCTAGCTCATGTCCTGAACACACTGACTACTCTAATATTTTATTTAACAATAAGAAAATATGAATATGAAAGTCAAGTCGGTAGTTTACTAATAATTTACACCAGCCACAATATAAAAGTACTAAATGCATTTGACAGTGTTGCTACCTTAAAGACAATTCAGCTAAATATTAGAGACCCTACAACAAATTGACAATCCCATCATAGCATATGACGGAAGTAAGTATCAAGTTTCTGACACATTCTTTCCCAAGTTACTGTGTGGAGAAGAATGTGTCTACAGGCAGACATACTGACTGACAGACTGAACGACAGATGCCACCGTGACAAATTGAGGCTAGCAGCTGTGTGTTTTTCTAAAATTCCAACCAGTTTTACGCTGTAAAAAATACTATAGAAATATACAAAATGTTTTGAAACCAGCATCTGATAACAAACATTTCTACTATTACTTTAATAGTAAAGTTCCCACATGGACTGAAGTAAGCAGGTGCTGAAATGGGCCAAGCTTTGAACTTGTTAATCCTCAGACAGTATATTTAGAACTCAGCCGAGTTCAGGATGAACAGCTACAGACTGACCGCAACTTTATGGCACATTGTTAACATATTTAACTTTATTGCTGTATTACAAGCTATTAGATGACAAATAAAAACATGATTTTTTCTAGAGTTATGAAGCTGTTTAGATTTAGATTTATTTATTAGATCCCCATTAGCTGCTTGAACTTAACAGCAGTTACTCTTCCTGGGGTCTCACCAAGTTCATCAACCAAAAATGCAGCGAACATAAGATTCATTTACATTCATACTCACAAACAAACACGACACAAGACACCTGCTCAAACCTAATCCAATAATACTGTAGCTCTACATGCTGACAATTCATTTTAAATTAATTTTCAAGGATCACTTGACATTGCATTTTCTGAGTTACCATAATAATAAAAAGGAAGCAAATAGCTCAGTTTCACACCTTCCAAACAGATGTATATGTTAGAGTAAATATGTAAAAGAAAACACATTTCGATTTGATTGGTTCATGCTCATCAAAACATTTAGTAAATAAATCTTCAGTATGCTTCGGGATGCACAACTTATAAACAAGTGGCTCGAGGAACTGAGTTTCAGGTAGTACTTCTGATACAGTCTATAGATAATCAGTGTTTGGCTTACACTAACAGCAGGGCTAGGGTTACCAGCATCGAGAGAAACTCGAGTGACACTATGTACTATGTGGAACATCTACAATAGCTGAGTATTAACGCTGACTATCCAAATAGAAAGTGCTACACACAGAAGGCTCCTTGCAAGGCCACAATGCCCTTCTGCAGAATTTGGCACAGTGATCTAAAGTGGAAATCCGATACATGAAGCTCAGCAGTGAGTAAAAATAAACTGATTTAACCTAAATATTCTATAATATGCAATGTGAAATCAATTAAGTAAAAACTGCAAAACTTCAAAGCAGTACTGAAACCTCTCTAAGCAAGATATCTGTATTGAAAATACATGTTATCTTAATCACAAATTGGTTATACAGTAGAACAAAGACCTGAGAACAAAGGTGTGGATTGACCCAATACGCCCATGTAAAATGCTGGTGTGGGTAAAGTACACTGACATCATGCACAGTAAGTGATCAATTATGGTTTACAAACAGTTATATTTATAACTGTGTCATAAATAGCAGAGAATGGGTACTCTGCGAGAGAATATCTCCATCTGAACCTGCTATTCATTTCCAAGGAGCAACAAAATACATATCACATCACGTTTGGGCAAATAAGTCCCTAAGCAATTTCCAATCAAACATTTGTAGGTGCTGCAACAGGTCAAATGCCTTTTTTCCTAAAAAGTATGGAAATGGGTGGTTATTTGTGACAAGATAAAGGACTAGTTTAGGTAACATTATTGATTTTTATACAAATGATAGTACACTACCCAGAATACTTAAACTGTTCCTATCTTTACTCTCCAGAAGCAAAAAACAAAAGAACCAAGTCTTTAATCTGGAATAACATTAAGCAAAATATGGTAATACTAGAAGAGACAGGAAGCTGTCTGTGATTTTTTTTTTTTTTTTGCTAAACCTTCACAACCATTTCAGCGTTATTCTGTTTTAGATCTTTAATCTACAAGCCAAGACAAAAATAATCAAGCTCCCATAAAACCAGTAGCTATGGTACAATTAAGTCCAGCAGTTAACACCACCAGTCCATCCACCCAAAGGATACATGAATGGATAGTTCCAGCATTTGTCATCAAATAAATCTGGGTGCCTCCAATCTTGCTTTACAATGGATCTGTTCAAATCCACAAATCCAGACTACAACACAACCTACTTGTGGGAATCAGAACAGAACACTGTCCTTTTCACTTAACAATTCAACCTATTTCTTTTTCTTTTAGTAAGTATTTAATTATCTTAATTGCAATCAAAGTAAATACTGCCTATCAAAATAAATGTGATGCTGTCAGTGTCAAAATACTATAAAACCTTGATGTAACTGTATCAAAATGCTTTGAGCAATCTGTTACATGTTCATGCAGTAACAACCATCTGGCGTGAGAGGTTTTCTTCTTTGAGACAAAACAGTACCAGAAACCCCCTGAGATATAAATAGATAACAATGCTGACAAAAGCAGCCACCTGTCCTTGTCAATCTGTGCTCAGTCCATGTAAAAAAAAGTTACCCAACACAGTATATGTCTACGATGTATTATGCAGCAACAATTCATCACACAAAAAGCTAATTATTGCACATTGTTGACTGAATAAGTTCACTAATACTTTGTGAGAAGGGGCAGTGAGCATCACTTACCGTTCGCAGGAACTGAATCTCTTCCTCTCCATCTGCACCCTCTGCCATTCTCCCAAGGCATTAAAAGCAAAACCTTGAGAAAAATGGGAAAACGTTTGTCTCTGAGTTCTGTAACTCCTGGTGCCTACTTGCCCAACACATAAGGCAGGGCAATGTTGGTGAAGGTTTCTGAAGGGCAATGTGGGTCCTGTGCCTCTCTCCAACTGTGGTATGAGGCAGAGGGATTGACTGTTCATTCCTGCTCATTACAGCATCATAAAGAGGTGGGGCAGCAAGCTGACAAAGCTGAGCTAGCGATTCAAATGCTTCTGTTATGGTATCTGGACCTTTGTTTTTCACCATGTTGTTACATTAAAAACAACTGCACTAAGGTAAGATATCAAAATTAAGTGAGAACAATTTAAAATAAATGTTAAATATGAGACAGATTTTATTAACAGACTGAATTGGCAGAGTTTTAACCCTTGTGAAACTTCAACCTTAGGAATATGAAATATATCACTTGCAGTCTTTCCATGAACTTTCCATTACTCTTTATTCATCTCTATTCCATATCTGTTGTGTGAGATATTCTTCTTTTTCACTCAGTTAACTGCTTCTTTCTTTTTAATTAAACTGAACACCTGGGAAATAAAGTAATTAATATAAGGGGGAAAAATAGGGTGTGCTGCACTGGGTCAAGACACTAGGTGCAGGTAAAAAATCAGGTGTTCTTCAAGAATTGGAATACAGTTCCTGCAAACGCTAAGTGATGCTCACCGCCTCTTCTAACAAAGTATTAGTGAACTTATTCAGTCAACAATGTGCAATAAATAGCCTTTTGTGTCACATTGTGTAAAAAACAATGTACCCTGATGAAGATACTTTACTCTATCTATGAATTAATAAAGAAATTTTAACCACAATCATTTTGGACTGCCTTTTTTCTTGATTAATATAAGGTTATGTTGTTGCTGTTTATCTGTGAACAAAGATACATAAAAGACATAAAACACAAAAGTTGATAAATAATGAATTGCTTAGCTGTATAATTTATGCTTAATGACAGACTTTTATTTTCATTATATTTATCAGTTATATTTATTAATTACAATGAGGGTGTACATGTATTATTTATATTTTTATTTTAAATATACTGCAATCACACTTAACTAATAAATGAGAAATTTTTGCTAACCCATATAGGCTATATGTCTTATAGCTAGCATTATGCTAATTAGCTATGGCTACCTTGTTTTATTTACATCCCTGGGAATTAACAACAACTCACCTGTAGGATCACCTGTCTGTCTGCTTTGCTATCTTCTGCGCTTTCTGTTAAGAGTAAAGAAAAAATGAAAATAAATTATAGTAATGTAGGAAAAAACCCCAGAATATACACTTTAATAAAACCTACCAGCTAGCAATAACTTAGCTTTAGCTTAACGGTTTCAAAGTTAGCCAGGCGACCGTTAGCCCGTTTAGCCGACTATGTGAGATTAAATATGTAAAACAAAAATTATGCACATCTTCAGGCCATATTTAAGTACGATAAGTACCAAGAACACTGTTAAAAGAAACAAATTTATTAGGTTTTGTGCATAATTTTACCGTTTTATAATAAATAACCGTGCATACTTATTAATTTCCTGTGGAGGTCAGCAAAACCCGGAAAGCGCGAGCAGTGTTCCTTTTTTTAGGTCATTCAAATTCAGTAGAAGAAGAAAACGGTACGTCGGTAAAATAGTTCCCCCTTCAATCATAAACACAAAGCAGTGTCAGGTAAGAGCTATTATTATTAGTTTTTAACCAGCAGTATGGAAACAGTCAGAATATGCATATTTGCCAATAGGTCGTAAAGCAATGGTATGTTTGCGCTGAACGTTGAAACAGGAACCCAACCGTTGTAACTGGCTCTTTTGCTAATTTAGCTGGTAGCTTAGCTCGCTAGCAGCGCTACGTGACTGTACTGAGTGGCTAATGTTTTGACATTGGTGACTGCTTGGAAATGTTCGTGTCGTTTGTAGTAGTGAACTACCAGACTTACCAAATCTGTGAAACACAACAACGTTTGCAAATTGAATGACAGGAAGCAAACACATCAGTTGGCGTTCGTCCGCAGATTAAAACGAGGTTTGTGTGATTTTTTTTTTTTTTAGCCATGGTTTTCTTTTCTTTGTGAAAGGCTTAAAGCTTGGTGCAGAGGAAAAGAATGGATGCCCTCACCCACATGCTTACAGACCCTCTTGATCCAAAAGAAGAAAACAATGGACAAATTACAGAGGAGTGCATGCTAGGGAACTGTAGGCTGAACCTTCCAGAGGACCTGCTTGAGGATGTGAGTTGTCTGACGCTCAGAGAAGAAATGCTGCTCATTCCTGCTTTGTTCGTTTGTTCAAATGTGTGAGATACAGCGCAGATAATGCATCCACTTTTGCTGTGTGCCCTTTGTTTTATTAGCCTGAAATATTCTTCTCTGTGATGAGTGAGAGCACCTGGCGTGAAGTACTGTCAGATTCCCAGAGGCAGCACCTTCGTCAGTTTTTGCCACAGTTTCCTGACAACAACGTTGCGGAGCAGGACAGCACCATCGGTGACCTGTTCAACAACAGAAACTTTAACTTTGGAAATCCCCTTCATCTCGCACAAAAACAATTCAGAGGTTCATTCTAAGTATCCACTTATTTACCCACAAACACACAACTATATCATGCTGAGTTGTTATTTGAAGCTCTTTGTAATCATGACTCTCATTATCTCCACCCAGATGGTTACTTCAATCCTGAGGTGGTCAAGTACAGACAACTGTGTGCCAAGTCCCAGAAAAAGCGACAACTGTACTCCCTTCAACAGTATTACCACAGACTCTTGAAGCACATTCTCGTCTCCAGAAAGGTATTCTCATAAATGTTTGAAGCATGAGGCACTTAGCCTTTTGCAGTTAGGCTTGATCTGTCTTCTTGTTGTATTGTAGGAGTTGCTGGACTTTGCAGTTCACAATGGTTTGGACTTTCCACCAAAAAGAAAGTTACCAACCAAGACTCACGCTGAAATGCGGGAGCCAAGGGTGAGAAGAAGATTGAGCCGCATATTAAAGGAGGTCAAAACTGAGTGTGGAGACAGCAATGCTTCATCGGATGATGATGGTCAGTCTGTTCTTTAGTGTCATTGCCAAAAACAATGCCTTTTATTTCTAACGCATTCTTTACTAAGAAGCATGGAAACACCAATTAGAGTGTTATTGCATATGCTTGTAGACATATCATTATGGACACCGGCACCACAATCACCTTCCTCTCCGACACCCACTGTCTCACTCCGAGTTCTTCCCAGCCTCTCCACCCAAGACATGAAGACTACTGGTCAGTGATTTCTGCAATATTAAGATGATGTTTGTCAAATGTTAAAGCACAGTGAATGTAATGTTTGAAAGACATTTTATTTCTTCACAGAAAAAATAGAACTAGGGGAGCGGGACTTGAAATCCATGCTGCAAAACCATCGGGAGAAGAGGAAGCGACAACCAGTAAGTATTGTCAGGAGATGAGAAAACAGATGAGTCCTGATTGGAACAGTATGTCATTAATGGTTGATTCACTCAGGACCATCCGGACTTGATGACCTCTGATATCCATCTTGGAGACATACTTTCAAGAGCGAATATTGGGCGTAAGGGGACCGTGCGTAAGTAAAATAAAAATAAAAAAATCTTACGTCAAAGTCTGTTGTTGATTTTATGACACACAGTTAATGTATTTCTTTACTTTTTCCCCGCAGCGCTCTTTGAGCTGTCTCTGCCTAAGAAGAAGATCAAAGATGAGAGACGGAAGAAAAAAATGAGACCAATAAAAGTGGAATCTGAGGATCCCTGTGAAATTCTTGCACCTTCAGACACCCCATCAGCACCACCAGCGAGTATCATCAACTCCCTGCCGGACACACCGTCTACTCCACTGCCCAACATCAAGGAAGAGTGAGTCTACTGCCACACTGGTGTTTAAAGTTTGAGAACTGTGTGTGTACATATACTATATTCACTGTGATACCACCATGCAAGACTAATGTACAGAACCATCATTATTGCAGAATTGTAGAGGAGTCTCAGAGCAGCCCGGCTCCAGTTGAGGAAATAGCTGTCAGTTTCTTCAGCTTGCTGGAGAGCATCTTAAGGGCAGAGAGCTTCACCAGCACTTCAATGGTATGTACTCACTCCCACATACAGATTATAAAAGTGATCTAATTTCTGACTTCACATTATAATGCCTACATTGCGATCTCTCAGTTGGAGGAGAAAGTTCAGATGTGGCAGTCTTCTCCAGCCAGCTCCCTCAACATGTGGTTTTCATCCGTCCCATGTTGGTCTGACTTGGTTCTTCAAGCCGTGCAGTTTCTTGCAGGAGAGACTAAAGGTATGTAGCAGCGGTCACTCACACTGAAATGGTCAGGCTTTATCTTTCACCCTTTGTTTCTCATGTGTGCTTTGTTTGTTAATCAGATGGCATGATGGCACTCCCCAGTGGCTTTTCTCCATTTGTGGAGTTTTCTGATGAATCTCAGCAGTGGAGGTGGATCGGTAAGAGAGATCAGATATTGAAATCCCCGGCTGATGCTTTGTATTCAGTCTGATTGTATACTTGAGGATTAAAGTCAATCATTTATTTTAGGCCCCACTCAGGATACAGAGAAGGACCTCAGTGCACTCTGCCAGCTGTGGCTGGACTCCAAAGATTTAGTTATCAAGGTAGAACCATTATTATACTACAAATACAGTTTCAGCACTCACCCTGCAGTTTATACTGTGCTATGCTAAATGTAAACAAGCTTATTTGTCTTCCACAGACAGAAAATGAAGACATGCTCGAGATGACTTCTCCCACACCGAGAGTGTAAGATTCAGCGATTCAAAAAGCATTGCAAACATGTTCTGAAAAGATAATAATTATATGTAGCCTTACATTTACATAATGAAGTTGTTTTACAGTGTTATATCTCTAATTATGCAGCTCAACTGATTATGTGGTGCGGCCCAGCACTGGAGATGAGAGACAAGTGTTTCAAATCCAGGTTTGTTTGTGTTGCTGGAATCTTTTTTATGTATAGTATTTTGCCTGGACATGAACTCTGTAAGCTGACGCCCTTTTTGTTTGTGTTATTAGGAACAGCAGCGATACAACC